GCTGGGCGGACCGACTGCGAGATGCAGCCTCCCACGGGGCCAGAGAGGGGGCTTCCGTCCCTCGCTGGGCTTTATACGGTCTCCGGGTCACGTGCTTCTCGTCCCGACCCGATACGGTGACCTCTGCTTTCTCCTTGGAAACACTCATGGGTTTCCAAATTCTGTGTAAGTTAGGCATTCACTTAAGTTTATACATTTTCTGTAAGAAAATAAACCACTTGTTTTTTGCCTGCTCTTTTCTGTGCTTCGCATTATTTATTGTGGTAAAATAGTCAGTGTTTTAGCTGGGAGGTGCAGAGCTCTCTGGCATGAGGGACGGTCACACAGTTGTGCAGCCGTCCCCGCCACCCTTCCCAAGAGCCCTTCATTTTGCCCAACTGGAATATCTACTACCCATCCCCTAGTCGTCACTGCTTATTTCTGTGGATCAACTAGGACTTTCTTTGTCAGTCTCGGCTCCCACGGGTTGATATTGATGCTATTTGCTCATCAGGCCGTGGAGGGTGGTCAACAAATGCCTGCGTATGTAGGAGACACATTTAGGAATGGAAATGGGAAATCATCTCATTTGGGCATTTTCTGATTTAGTCCCAGTCAGCATCTTCCTCCCAAAGCCTGTCAATAAACAGCACCCCCACCTGCACAGGGTGAGGGTCCCCATTTTGCAGTAACTCTGTTTTCAGTAACGTTTTTCAGCTGCCACTCAAGGTAGTTTCAGTACTTCATGATTTGTATATTTGAACTGGTGTTGCCTTTTTAACCTGCATCATCTCATTTATTATTTATGAAGCTGCACCCCTCCCCCACCCCGGGTCCCGGCCTCACCCTAGTTCGGCTGCCCCCTGCTGGGCCTGGCCTCCCCCATTCCCGGGCTTAGCGACCTGGCTGTCCAGCCACTGCCCCAGCTAGCCGGTGGGCCTCCCTCCACTGGGACTGGGAGGCACCAGCCATCTCTGGACCGCTCTCCAAATGCTGAATACCTTGATTCTGTCAGGAAACTATCCCTTTATCTGTTGTATGTATAGAAATATGAATACAGAGATTTGGTTCCATTCCCTTATTAATTTTTCGATTCCTTCCCATCTATGTTTATCTTTTAACTGTCCTTATTTATACATCACATCATTTCAATCTAGAGTAATTTATAGATTTTTTTAAAACTGTGCATAAAACTCTACAAAATTCCCCTGCTGGTGAGACCAACCCCATGTCTGTCGTGGTGTACACTTGGGGAGTGCATATGTGAATCTCCATACCGTTTCTATTTTGATAATTTCATTCATTTATGTCAATAGGCTCATCGTGATTTCTGTGATTATTTACTATTTTTATTATAAGGTTTTTTTTTTTCACATATCACTTTGTATTTTTTATTGAACAACCTGACATCTCAGGGGTGCATCCCTGAGAGGAGACAGAAGATCCTGCAGGTCCGTCATCTCTTGAAGTTTTCTGTGAGCGTTTTGTTTCAAATTCCATGATCTTTCCTCTTAGTAAAGTTATACTATTAGAAAGTCTTTTAGTAAACTTGGTGATACCAACAACCTATGGGGGAAATCTGGTGAAATTAAAAGATGCAAGGTCTCATATATTGGCAAACTTATAATTAGAAATTACTTAATCCTTAAAGATCACTAAATTACAGAATTGCTAAAAGAATATAAGGTTTTATCACAACAGTGCACATTGCGGGCATTTGTATGGGTCAGGGCCTGGCAGTGTGCACAGCAAGGGTGGCAGAGAAGCAGATCCCGTGGGCTCCCTATCTCGTACCCTTCTCTAAAGACCATGAAGTTTACCGTGGAGCACCACGTTGGGGAGAAGAATCTACAGTGTGTCTGTAGTCTGTATTTCTATTCCTCTTTTAATAATTCTATCATATTTAGTAATTTTTAAATAATTGTGCAATTTTTAATTATAAATTCATCAATTCATAAAACTTGGTGTCTCTCCATTTTATATTTTCCTATACTTCTACAATTTTATAAAGTACAGTAATAGACTTTCTAATCTTTTACTTGAAATTTGCCTAGAGGATTGATATTAGGATTTTGCCACCACACACACAGGTGCATGAGGTGATGGACCCCAAGGGTCTCTGTCCTCCTGCTCAGGGATTGCTCCTGGGAGGGGACAGGTTGTTCACAAATTCAAAGTGATATGTGAAAAAAAACAATAAAAAAGTAGTGAATAGTCACAGAAATCATGGTAAGGATCCTAACAACATAAATAGATGAACTTTTAGATATGAGAAATGGGTATGGAAATTGGGCAATGCACTCCCCAAGGGTACAGTGAACAGCATGCGGTCTCACCAGTAGGGGAGTTTTGCAGTTTTATGGAGAGTTCTAAAAAAATTTATGAATGACCTCCAATTGAAATGACATGATGTATAAATAAGGAGTTGCTAACGTATCTATAGATGAAAAAATGAAATCTCAAAGAAGAGTTCTATTTAATTAATAGGTGATCCAATGAATTCTATTCAAAATCTCAACAGATTTTATCTATTAAACAGATGGAGTTTATTGAGCATTTGGAGAGCAGTCCTGAGATGGCTGGTGTCTCCCAGTCCCAGTGGAGGGAGGCCCACCGGCCAGCTGGGGCAGTGGCTGGACAACCAGGTCGCTAAGCCCGGGAATGGGGAAGGCGTGGCCGAGCTAGGGTGGGGCTGGGATCTGGGGTGGGGGAGGGGTGCACCTTCATAAATAATAAATAAGATGCAGGTTAAAAAGGCAACACAGGTTCAAGTATACAAATCGTGAAGTACTGAAACTACCTTGAGTGACAGCTGAAAAACGTTACTGAAAAAGGAGTTTCTGCAAAATGGGGACCATCGCCCTGTGCGGGAGGGGGTGCTGTTTGTTGACAGGCTTTGGAAGGAAGATGCTGAATGGAACTAAATTAGAAAATGCCCAAACGAGGTGATTTGCCATTTGCATTTCTAAATGTGTCTCCTACATACACAAGCATTTGTCGAATACCGTCCACGGCCTGGTTGCCTTGGAAGAGAAGTAACACCATTTGAGCAAATAACATCAATATCAACCTGTAGTAAAGTTCAGGCTGCACAACTGTGTGACCGTCCCTCAAGCCAGAGAGCTCTGCACCTCCCGGCTAAAACACTGAGTTTTCTGTTAGGTGTATTGTACCACAATAAATAATGCGAAGCACAGAAAAGAGCAGGCAAAAAACAAGTGGTTAATTTTCTTACAGAAAATGTATAAACTTGAGTGAATGCCTGACTTACACAGAATTTGGAAACCCATGAGTGTTTCCAAGGAGAAAGCAGAGGTCACCGTATCGGGTCGGGACGAGAAGCAAGGGGAGCTGACGGACTGACTCAGCGACCCCCCCCCACCCCGGGGCACATGACCCGTAGACCGTATAAAGCCCAGCGAGGGACGGAAGCCCCCTCTCTGGCCCCGTGGGAGGCTGCATCTCGCAGTCGGTCCGCCCAGCGCCCCCGTTTCTGACCCTCTGCCCACGGACAGGAGGAGCACACCTGGGCATCAGGTTGGTTTTCTTTCCATCTGGGCCTCCCAATACCCTCGGAGAAATAGGACAGTGGGGACAATATGAGGTGATGTGGCTTAGGCATTGGGTTAAGGCTCCTTCAATTTTGATAGTATTTGTGGAGAACAGAGACTGATACAAGGCCTCCTTCTCAAGGCTAATTATTACGTGAGGTTCAAATTTAAAAGAGACGGGCTGGAGCATTCTGGTTCGCGGAGGAAGAACGGTTATGGAAACTTGGTGGGTTATGGCTTTGGGCACTGGAAGCCTCAGGAATGTGTTGTTCATGCTTAGTTCGAACCTAGGCATTTCACATTTACTAAGAATTCATGAGAAATGGAGGCATTGAGGACCAAAGGTAAAATAAAATAGTTCAGGCCCTCAGCGGGAGCTTCCTGTCCAAGAGAAAGAAAATACATGTTTTCTATGTGAATTTGTATTCGGAAGTTGCCTCCTCTTACGTTGAATGGGAAATCCAGCGCTCGGGAGGAGCACATCCGGTGTTTTGTGCGGAGAGTGACATGGGCCACGGCGTTCAGGGTCGCGTTCCCGGAGCTCTGGTTTGGGGAGGGTCGGGGAATCCGTCTTGTACTTTCCTAACTGAGCGCCTGTGGCAGAGCTGAACGAGCTCTGGCTTCCCGGTCACTCGGGGGGCTCACCCCAGCTCTCGGCTCCAAAGTACCCTTTTCCTCTTCCAGGACGTCCAGGAAGCACAGCTCAGGAGACGGAGCTGAGGCGGGAGGGGGTGGGCAGATGGCGGGCCGTCACCCCCAGCCCGGGCCCTGCAGCCCCCTCACAGCCCAGGGAGCCGAGAGGCGGCCGAGGGGCCTCCGGGGGCCCAGGGCTTCCCCTCCTGAACTCGAGGACCCCAGGGTAAGTGGAGGCGGGCGCCTGCTGGAAACCAGGGGCTGGCATGGAGTCCAGAGACGGGGCGGACACGGGAAGTGCTGCGTCCTTTCCCGGCCAGGGGCTGCCTTCCCTGGGACCTCAGCCCCGGGCAGATGGGGCCACTGTGGGACTCGGGGGTTGTGGGGGTGCCTCCCGCTTCGGGGCATGTCCAGGCTGGCGAGGGCCCGACTCCTCGAGGCTGGGTCTTCCCCTGCACCCCGAGGCCTCCCGTCCCTCCTGCTGGGTCCTGCCTGTCACCGACTTTGGGAACCTCTGGAATATCTTTAGTCTCCTAGTGCCTGATTTGCCATATTTTCTGTCCTCTCTGCCCAAATCTATTCCACTCTGAACATCCGCCCCTCCCTCCCCCTCCCGGGCCTGTGGGCTGTGGCTCGCTGACCCCCCTCCTCCCCGGCCGCAGGTGAAGTGCAAGCACTGTGGGGCCTTCGGGCACACCGCCCGGAGCAGCAGGTGCCCCATCAGGTGCTGGCAGGGCGCCCTAGCCCCCCAGCCCTTGGGCTCCAGTGCGCTGAAGGAGAACCGGGACCCCCGGAATCGGCAGGCCTCCCAGAACCCAGGCGCCTCCCTGGAGGCCCTGCCAGAGAAGGGGCTGACACAGAGGTGAGGAGCCGGGAGGGTGGGGGCCAGGCTCGGGCTGAAGCCTCTGCAGACTGTGGCTGACCTCCCTCTCCGCCAGGCAAGGACAGGGTCCCGGCGGGAAGAGAAGGGGCTCTGCCCCTCTGGGACCGCCACTGGGAGCCCATTGCCCGGGAGCATCCCCAGTGGGGTGGGACGCTGGGGCGCTTTGCACTGCAGGCAGACCAGCAGTGGCGGCCCCGCGGGGTGCTCCAGGCCCTGTCCCAGGGGCGCCCCGGGGTGGGGGACGCGGAGAGGGGAGGGTGGTCAGGGCAGAGCAAGGGCCTCTTTGCCTGGGCCCCTCAAGCAGGAATGGGCCCGGGCCGCGGAGGGGCTCCCTCTGAGCCTTTGCTGTGCTGCAGGCCCGAGGAGCGGCGCAGGGAGGCTGTGCTCCCGCGGTGCCCCAGGAGCCGCCCCAGGAGGCCGCCGCAGAGCCGGATGGAGCCGGAAGCACGTGACTGCGCGCGGGTGAGTCCCTGGCCCCACCGCTCTTCCCTCCGGGCGCCGGCTGAGCGCCCCTAGCCCCTGGCAGGCGGTTGGCACGTTTCTCCTGGGACCCATGTGGTGCCCTGGTGTGCGTTTCCAGTGCCATTTTTGCTTGATCATGTCGGTGTTGCTGGGGGAGTGGTGGCCGGGTCATTAGGTGCTTCCGGGTGGCAGCATCTTCTGGCTGTGGGACACCCCCCAACATGTCAGTCTCCAGCCTCCTCCCAACAGCGTGTTCCTGGCCTTCCCGCGAGAGGGAATGAAAGGGCCTGTGTGCACGCAGCCCACCGGGCGTTACCAGATCGTTTCTGTTTGGTGTCTAATTGAAGGAAATGTATCGAGGTGATATTGTCATTTATGTTTTCCTAAGCCTGTGATTTGAATCCCTCTTTACAGCTACCTGCACTGCTTGTATATCTTTGGCTGCTAAGTTTCGTGCTATAAGATGTCTTTGTGATTCGGGGAAGTATAAGTGTTATTGGCATTGAGGAAGTTCTAAGTATCATCTGTGTGTCTCATCCTACAGCATCCAAACAGGCCGATGCCCGTCTACACACCAAAGAGGACCTGCATCCTGCACCCCGGGGTGGGAGGCCTGGGGCACGTCCTCAGCCTCCAGGCACAGACCAGCTCCCTGTCTGGAAACTCCCATCCGGACCCACACCCTGCCCCGGAGACCTTGGCCATGGACTTCAATCTCCTTGCTGAGGCATCAGGCAAGAGGTGTGCCCAGTTCCCCGAGGGGCCAGGCCACGGGCCCCACAAGAGACCCAGGCTCTGTCCCTTGCAGAGCAGCCCGTGGAGCCCTGGGGCCCCTGAGCTTGGGGCCTCCCAGAGCCTCCACCGTCCACCAAGGGCAACTGGACCAGCAGCGGCCCCCCAGGGGCAGAGCGGTGGCCTCCCGCCTGCAGGCAGCCAGCCCCTCCTGGCTCCGGCCCAGGCCTGCACCGCACTCGGGGCCCTACCAGTACCCCAGGGGCCTGGCCAGCCGCTCAGGATGGTCTTCACAAGGTCACAGGAAGGCCACTGGAGCTCCAGGTTCCCCACGGCACCCTTGTGCCCTCCTCCTGCCGCACCAGCCCACCTGGGCAGCAGCCTCCCACCTCACCCATGTCTGAGGGTTTCTGTGCCCATGTGCCCTTGAGCACCCTCTGTGAGGACCTTCAGTTTTCCTCCTCCTGGTCTGGCGAGGCCGAGTGGGAGGGACACACTCATGGCTCCCAAGACTGTCCTCCCACCCGGCTGCCCCGACTGGAGGGTAGGTCACCAGTAGCGGGTCTTTCTGGTGCGTCTGATTCCCAAGCCATGCTGGGTGCACGAAGGCCGGAGAGGCAGCACATGCTTGGGGCCGCGGCTCTGTCCTCTCCAATGACACCGGTGTAAGCTGGATGTGAAATGTACTCACCAAACGGAAATGCAAAGGTCCCTGTATTTAAACCACTGTGTATGAATTGGAGTCAGATCGTAGGGTTATATTTATTGATAATGGATAATTTCAAAGGAAGCTGTGAAATTATTCTGTATTTGTGGGCAAATGTCTGAATTTTGGGACAGTGGGTAAAGGGTCGAATCACGTGCTCTGCAGATTTAAGTGGTGCCCTGTCCTGAGATGAGAGTTATTAACTGTGTGAAGTTGATTCAGTAGATGTCAACATGAGGAATATTCTTGTTACTTTGTTAATTTTGGTTATTAAGTGTTGTTATGAAATTATCATGGAGAATTTCCTTTCAATATTAAAGCTTTGCCAAACCTACCATATTGTACTTGGTTTTCATTTCTAGCACGCATAGCATTTAAATATTATTTTTGTTCCTCACAGCTTATGAACTGAGGCTGAGGAGCTGTAGGGAAGACTGGTTTCTTAGACATGCAGGTTCCCAGGGGCCCCAGCTCTGCTGCAGCAATTCTGCATGTCACCCCTGTGCCCACGTGGCCTGCTGTGCATTCACACGGGACAAGGACCTATGCAGGCTGATTCCCACCGGGCCCTCCTTCCCTGGTGGGTGTAAATGTCTAGGTATGTCTGAATTCTACTCCAGCACGGACAAAATTAGTGTGTCTTATGAAGACTGGGCACTGGGGTTTCAAAACTGCCCAGGTGATCTGATGGGTTGGGCACCTCAGTCTCGTGCTTATCCGTTCTCTGAGGAGTCTCATTAGATTAGGCCATACATAGTAGCCTGGTTTTAACATAATCAAAGTTTTAAAGGCTCGATGTGTGGGTAGACAGAGGTGCTAGAGATGGGGGGACTTATGGCACTGAGCTGAGTCTGGCCCAACATTCCAACCAGTACAGTCCTGGTCTGTGTGTGCAACTGCAGAAAAGAAACTAACACCCTTTAGTTCTCCAGCCACCGGCTTTATTGTTAAATAAGGAGAGCGCTCTGACTAACCTATTTTAATACACAAATTCATTCTGGGCGTCTCACTTTAAAACTGTGGGAGTTCTCTCAACAGGTTAAGTATCTAAGGCTTCCTTTGTGGTATGCGTTCTTCTAAAGTGGAGAATTAATCTATTAGGGTCATGAAATGTATATGAAGGCAAAAGATTGGAAGGTATCTATATTTATAATTTTTGCCATTTAGCTTTTTAAACCATTTGGCCGTCGGTGGTGTGGTTGCATAATAGTACATCACCATAAAATAGAACTTCAATAATGAAAGGGGCTTCAAACTGGAAACCTTTTTACTTTCATAAAAGAATTCAATCTTCAAAGATTATGCCAAATGGTAGGGAGAGGCTTTTTAATCAAGAAAAACTCAGGACTCATATTGAGGAGGAACTGGTATCTTAAGATGTGATCATCCAGAGGTGAGAGGCTGAGGCCTTCTGAGAACTTTCCTGAACACGCTTATGGTCTGGACCTGCATGGCTTTCCAAACTTCCTCCGTGTACAGAGCTGTTTGGATGTCCTAATATCCCAAAGGTTTTGCAGGTAGATTTCTGGGACATCTGATGGTCTATTGTTTGTTCCTACCTGACCTTCTTGCCCAGCTATCTGTGGGTTTGCAGTAACCTTCCAGCTTTGTGAGCTCTTAGTCCTTCTGCAACCCAAGAAACATCTGGGGGCAAATCAGTATGTGGCCAGCTACCCTTGTGACATCTGGTCTTCCAGGGCCTCTGGTATTTGGGACTTCTCGGTTTCCATACAGCTTCCCAGAGATGTGTGAGGGCATCATTCTCATTGCTCCCTGGCCAGCAAAAGCGGATGCCTTACGATAGTTCTGTACTCAGATGTGTGGCCACGATGCTGAATTTCAGGCTGAAAGAACAGATGACAAAAGGAGAGCTAGGCGCTGTGGAGTGACGTGATGCTGGGGACTTGCGGCTCCCCCTAGACTGGGTCTGTGCGCCCTGTTCCTGCATTGGGCTGCTCCTTCCCTGCAGAGAACTCTGTACCATTTGTCAGGGCTCGTAGCCCCTGAGAACCGGTGAGTGTGGGCGTGTAGGACCGGAAACAGGAACCGTTTGCTTCTGACCTTTAAGGCCTAACCACGGGATTTCATGCAAGAATTTCCAGGTTCATTGTATTCTTCCTACTCCAAACTGAGAATAAACTGTTTCTCCAACAGACATGGTTTCTTTTTATTGGCAAACATGCTAAAACATAGAACAAAACATAGATCTGAATGTGCTCGTTGATACAGCGGCGTGCTTTCCAGGCAGCTGATGGTGAGGACATTTCAGGGTGCCCTCCATCTGTGATGGATCCCATCTGTCAATACACAGATTTCTGTACACAGATGCATTTCTGTAAGGAATCCTCATTTACATTAAGGTCAACATACTTTGATGGTTCATACTGGTGTCTCCAATTCTCACCTCTTCGCCACGTGGGTCTCCCTCGCGGACTCCGCTCACTCTAGGCTGCCGGCAGGGGGCGCACGAAGCCGCCTTTCACCCGGGCTCAGCCTGTCTGGTGCGCGTGCGCGCTGCGCCGTCGACGCCTCGTGCGCAGTCGCCCAGGATGAGGAGGCGCCGGGGCGGATGTTGGGTGAGTCGGTCTCGCCACGGTGGGTTGGGACGTTCACGGGGGCGTCCTCGCAGCCGACGGTGAAGCCGCGAGTGAGCACAGGGCCTGGTCCTTGATGTCGCGGCTTCCCGGGGAGAAATGCCGCGAGTGTAGACGAGGGAACCGCGTGGCCGTCGTGAGAGGTGGGAACGGAATGGCGGCCGGCGCCGGGCCCTGGGAGGGCAGAGCGCGTGCGTGGGCCCTGAGCGCCGCGAGGCCGGGGGGCTGTGGGGGGTGCGACGGCCGCGCACTATCCACTCGGGATCCGCCACGTCCCACCCTCCGGCTCCTCCGCGGGTGGCCCGCCTGTGTGACCGGAGGACGTGCCTCGGCCGCCTCGCTGGGCCCGGGTGCCGGGGGCGCCGCCCTGGGCGGGCGGGACACACGCAGGCGCGCCGGGCGTGACTCGGGGCGGGAAGGGCCGGTGTGGAAGCCTGAGCCTGGCCTGCAGTTCACAGCTGCTCTGTGTAGTGTGGACCTGGGCACGTCCAAGCTCTGGATTTCAGTCCAAAGGGGAGACTGGAAACCATCGCCAGCCCCTTAGACTCGGCGGCGCAGCTGCGCGCTGCGGGCCCCCTTGAACTGCCCCACAATTGGGAGTAAACTGCGCCGCCTCACCCCCTTTTTTGATTTCGGGAGCGTCACCGGTGTGTTTCTCTCTGCAATCCTTTACGAGTTCAGATCTGGCAGCAGATCTCCATTAGGCTCAGGCGCTGCATACAGAGAGTAGCTTCTTGTTTCACTCGTAAAGGTGCACGTGCCTCGTGCAGCGTCCCGTCCTGCAGTTGGAAGGCCCGAGTCCCGAGCAGCTTGCGGAGCTAGCTCGCTTCTCCCGAGGCAGGGTCTCGATGGGCCGTGTGCCCCCCTGAGCCCAGGGGATGGGGAGGAATTGGCCCCCCGGGTGCCCATGAAGCCAGGAAAGGTCCTCATGGCTTTGAGGTGAAAGGAGGGCTTTGTAGGCACGCAGGAATGGCCTACAAGGATTCACTCTGGGTTTAGGAATTTAAGCAAGGTCAGAGAACGAATGAGGTGAGCCAAGACGAGAACTCATGTTTTTGCCTCCCTCTCAGACTTCCTCTTTTTTAAAAAAGTAATACAATAGATTCATTTTTATTGAGCTATAACTGACATGTACCATTGTGTGAGTTCCACGTGTACAACATAGCGGTTCAATATTTACATATATCGTGAGACGATCACCACAATAAGTCTAGTTGTCACCACACAGTTGCAAAAAATTTCTTTTACTCTTGATGAGAACTTTTATGGTCTCTCTTAGCAACTTTCAGGTGTGTAATGCAAAATTATTGACCACAGTCACTGTCCTGTATGTTACATCCCCATCACTTACATATTTTATAACTGGAAATTTGTTTGTTTTGATCCCTTTCACCCATTTCAGACCCCCACCCCCAACCTCTAGCAACCACTGATCTGTTCTTTTTATGAGTTTGCTCTTTGGTTTTCTTTTCTTTTTAGATTCAAACGCCATACAGGATTTGTCTTTCTCTGACTTACTTCACTTGCCATAATGCCTTTAAGGTCCATCCATCTTGTTGCAAATGGCAAGATTTCCTTCTTTTCCATTCTTTATACAGATACACATGTCATGTCTTCTTCATCCATCCATCGATGGACACTCGGGTTTCTCCCATGTCTTGGCTGTTGTAAATAATGTTGTAGTGAACATGGGGGTGCAGGTGGCTTTTTGAATTAGTGTTTTCATTTCCTTCAGACAAATACTCAGAAGTGGAATTGGCACATTGAAGCCAGAAGCCTGAGAATATTTTGGTAGTTTAAACCCATTTAAAAATAAAGACTGGTTATCTTTCTGTAAATTCCCTGCAGTGCTTGCGGGACAGGCCAGAACCCACACAGCAGGGAGGCCTTTGGCTGCTGTGAGAACACCAGTAGGATTTAAGCAGTCGCTCTGTTTTCCGTAATTGTACCTATATGGTTTATTTAATTAGAAGGAAGATTCTTTGCCAAGTTATTCCTTGATTAGATTTATCCTGATTGACATCCAAAGTAAACAGGGTCTGTCCATTGCATTGTGAATCTGATTTAAGTTATCAATTATATCAAAATGAGTCCAAAAACAAATGTGTGTCTGTTCTTAGAACGAAGCTCTGAGCTCAGGTGTGTGGGGACAGCACACTCAGTAACCATACAGTGTCACATCTACTTAGGTAGTGGAGAAAAATTTCCCCAGTCAGATCCAACTTCCTTTACTTTGTCAGTGAACTTTAATTATGAAGGTGACTGTGACTGTGACTGAGGCCATTTGCAGTACATCTTCTGAAGTCAGATTAGGTGGTGTGTGTACATGAAATTTCTGTTTATTTCTAATTCGTTAGTCAAAAGTCAGAGAAACTTGCCTTAAGAGTCTGCAGGTGATTTTTCTGCAGGCAGTCTTGGCAGTGAAGAAAGGAACAAACAAATGCACAGTGAGAAATTAGGTGAGTAACCTGACGGAAAGTAGGGGTCTACTCAAGGCAACTAGTTGGGAAGGGAAGACTTAAGTGGCAGTTTAAAGAAGGGATCTCTGAAGATACGGTGTTTAGTCTCAGACTGAAGCTGACTGAGTACAGAGTGCTCGTATGTGCACAGATGGTGGGGTGAAAACAAAGGCTCACAGTGCTTAGAACAGCGGTGCTCAGGTGTGTCATTCTGGAAAGTAGTGTCAGAGATCTGGGTATCTAGCGGAACCATTATCTGACTTTGAAAACTAGAAGAGAAGGAATTTTATTTGTGGAAGAATTCAGGGCTTTGTTTTGAATCAGATTTCCTTTTCCATTCCTGAAATACACACAGGTGGAGATGACAGCTCAGAAATGGAATCTAGATACGAGTTTAGCGAGAACAGTGGAAGACATTGCAGCAAGTGAAGGCGTGTGAGATTTCCAGGAGACTGTATCGTCCAAGGAGAGAAAGGGGTAGGATTGAACCTCTAGGCATTTCAACAGTAAACTCCTTGGTTGAGGAGAAGCCTCCAAAGGATTTCTGGAAGGGGCGACTAGAATATTGTAAAAGTAATTAAGAATCCGAGCTGTCAGAGAAGCCAAGGAAAATAATGAAGTTTCTAAAAGGAGATCATGTGCCACTCCTGCTCTGGCTCCAAGTCAAAGGCCAAAGGCCAAGGAAGACGCAGTGGATGTAATTATGGGGGTAACTGTGATCATACCAAGATTTATTAACGTGGAGATCATTAGTGATTCTTGTGGAAGAGTGAGGAGATGTGGGGAAGCTGTAACTAAATATGTACTGCTTTCTCAGGCTAATTTGAAGGGGAAAAGGTCGTGTGTCAGGCACTAGATGTACATTGGTTTAGATGAGGTTTATTCAAGAATGGAGAGACTAAATGAATTTAAGGAGATGGATGGGGAAGTGATGAAGAGATTACTGGTAAAGGAAATTAAGCTTATAATCAATAATACACAATATTAGAGAGAGAGAGTAGAAGTTGATGTAGTTAGGAATAGAGATGACATTTCAGTTTTGACAAGAGAGGATGCGCCATTGGGTTGGAATTCAGGAATAATTGTAGATTTCATGCCAGTGAGGTGAAGTATTTCTTCAAACTGTCTAATTCATCTCTGCAGTAGGAAGTGAAGCCATTTTTGGAAAGTGGAGAAAAAGGTGAGAATTTGGGAGATTCAAAGGGCACAGGTAATATTGAGATACTAACAAAGCATGACAGTGATTATCAAGCCATAGTAGGATGCCAGGTATTTAGAGAAAGCCACTGGGGGATTTGTGATGCTGTAACGGGACCAGATCAGCGCCTAATTCTGAGCTGTGACAGCCGCAGCCATGGGAAGGGAGATACTTGAAGTCTCCTGGGGTTGGGGGTCCCCATCAGCAGATGGGGGGAAGCACTAAGGGGTATTAGAATTGTTAGTGTTATACGTGTTAAAATGAGTAGTGTGTGTAACACTGATGAGTAAAAATTAGGAGAGGTGGGGTCTGATTTTGGAAATCGGGGTCCCTGAACTGGAGGTGTCCATGTAGTAGGAGAAGTTGGGTGGGGGAGCAGGCTGAAAGGAGGAGGTCTGTGAGGGAGTCTGTGGTCATGGATCTGACTGGTGACATCAACAGGTAAAGCTTGGTTCTGGACTCTTTCCTCAAGATGAGAATGTTTAGTTACCTGACATTCAGAGATGGAGCTCATTTTAAGTTCTAGCCCCAAGACGTCGCCGTGTACTTTGGTCATGCGTCTAAAGCTTTCTGAACCTCGTGCACATCCCTTGTTGAATGTGTAACTAATCCATAAATGCAGGGTTACTGTGAGTATTAAGTACAATGCGTGTGAGCAAATACATGTCAGTTCTACTCATAGAGTCTCAGTTAATACAAGCAGAATTTTCCCTTCCCAGGTCCTCTAGGTCAAAAGGTTTTAATCATATCCTGTTCTTGACACATTATCAGTATCTGTTGATGTAGTACATTTAGCTATAAATATTGTTTTAGGTTTAAAGTACTATTGAGAGGTGACAAATTCTTTCATAAACTTAAATTATGAAATGCGGAGAGAGAATCTCATTGATAAAAACAACTAGAAGTCCAGACAGCATTTCACTCAAGGAATCGATAGGTTTCCTCTAGAACGAAGCCCCTTCCCTCTGTGTTTTGAGGCGTGAGCCCAGTGGGGATCATGTGACACAAGGCAGCGTCATGACGCGTGCACTCTGGTTTCCGGTGAGAGGGGTCCTGTATGCTGCACTTACCGGGTGAGAGTCGCCGAGCCTGTGAGCAAGTCTGTGACTTGTCCCAGCCCAACATTAAAGAGATTCCCAAGTTGCTTGGCCACATAATGTCCAAGGCCATGAAGTACCTACCTAGGGTTAGGGCATGAACGTGGCCGGAACCCCACACGTGGAGGAGCCGAGATGACTGATGGCAAGCGTGCCTTGGGAGAGTGTGGGGCACTAATGAGCTGAGCTGGGGGCTGGAAAACAAGGCGAGATGTGACCTGGGTCATGGAAACAGGAATCTCCATGTGACAGGAACCAGATTCTGCTAGGATTTGGTGCTGGGGATTAAATAATACCTCTGAAGACCAGGTCTAATGAAACTGTAAAGCCCTATACTTTTGTTATGTCTATAATGGGGAAGTTATATCTTTATGTGCCTCAGTAGCCAGAGACTTGTTCCTGTTGACCCTCAGAGAAGAGCGCCCCCTCCCCTTTGTCCGCATTCACTCTGCAGGTGCATGTGGGGAGGGCCGTGGGGGGAGTCCCTGCCATGTGAGGGTTTGCGGATCCGGGATGGGCCTATCTAGGCGTGTTGGAAAAGACTGCATCTCCCTGGTTCTCTCTCTTCCTTCAGCTCTGTCTGCTTAGTCTTCGGACTGCCCTTGGCGGGGATCCACAGGAGGACGGAGCCACCGAGTCGCAGACAATGCAGCCGCAGGTGTTGGGGGGCTCTTCCCTAGGAGCCGACACCTGTGTTTCCCAGGAGGTGAGCAGGCTTCTCTTGGGGGCCTGGATCTTCTGTGTGTCCCATGAGGTGTCAGTGTCTGTCACATTTCATCAGGACTCGGGGGGCTTAGGGCAGGTCAGGGAGAACCCCATACCTCCCCAGTATACACACTGCTTTACTCATCCCCTTAAGGATGTCCTTGCAGAAAAGATGAAACGTCGTTTCTTCTCATCCATCCCGTGGCTTCAGTTGAGGAATAACTCCCTCGTTAACTATGTCCGCGCCTGCAGCGGGCTTAGACTTGAGCGGACACAGGTGACAGGAGCGCATAAGAGCCGAGTCCCCAGCCTGTGGGGAGGAAGCTCTGCCCACCCAGTGCTTTAGGTGCAGCAGGGGGGCTGGGTGACTTTGAGATGGGCTGCAGAGAGCAACAGCAATGCACAATCGTCCTTTTCTCCTGATTTTAAACTTACTGATGTTTTTCTAGAGCATACTTGAACATTGTAATAACAAAAAAATTTTTCCTTACTACTCTTGTCCCAAATAACCCCATTTCCCTTTTTATAATTAAAGTTTGTTCAAATTTGAATACAGAAAAAAATGTCTGGTGAGTAATATTTTCTGATTTGGGCTGTGTGTTGAGGAGAATTGTAACAGAAAATATATGGCCCTGTAGCAATTGTTGAAGGGCTGGGAAAACCAGGTTCCTGTGAGTGGCTCTGCTCCCCATTGGCATACAGGTCGGGTGGTGGTGCAGGCGGGCAGTGACAGCCCGTGCCTGGAGGTCCTACACAAAAGTAAACTGCTGCTTTTCCACGGGATGGCCAGGCCAGCCCATGCTGTGGACCGCAGTCTTAGGACCCCTGCACTTGGCTTCTGAACTGTATGTCTTCTGCTTTATCAGGGGCTTGTGAGTTTTGTAGAGACAGGAGAGGCCACACCTGCCTGTCCAGGTTCTGTCGGAGGCCCGTCCAGTCCTGCAGAATGTTGGGCATGGCTGCAGCCCAGGTTATTTCCACCATACCTCCCGAGATAATCATTTGTAGCGAAGTTATGGTTTCAAAGTGTGTGTATATTTCTGTGAGAGACACATGACATGACAGCCTAGAGAACCATTTGACGAACCCAACAGGGTCTATGCTCTGTGCATACAGCAGGCTGTCCCAGCACCTCTGTGTTCAGCGTGCTCCCCTGGCCCTTGGTCAGGAAGGCCCGGCTGCATCAGTGTCCATGATGTCTTAGGGATCGGTGACCTTCAAGGATGTCGCTGTGGACTTCACCCAGGAGGAATGGGCCCTGCTGGACGCGTCCCAGAGGAAGCTGTACAGAGACGTGATGCTGGAGAACATCGGCCAGCTGGTCTCCGTGGGTGAGTCTGTGCGCGCCCGGTGTGTTCATTCAGCAGGTGTCCAGAGCAGTCTCTGCCTCCGCCCCTCCCCTCCGCCCTCGCTCAGACTCTCTCGCGGTTCTTAAAACTACCTGAAGGTAGTCGAGTTATGTACGTGCACTTATTTTGTCATCCCAAAAGATTACAGTTTTCCTGACCCTTTTATACCCGTCTTCCTTCTTGATCTCTTACACTCAGGACTGTGCTGGGAATTCAGTGAGTAAGTTTTAATGAATGGAAGTATTAAATACTTACTAAATAACCATTCTGTTCTATACACCCACCTGGTGGTTAAAAATCATTCATGAAAATTAAACCAAGTATCTCCTTCCAAATAGAAATTAGCTTGTTCTGGTGGAGCTTCTGTGTATTGGGTTTTTAAAGAAATACAGTTCCTCCTGTTGTGGAAACATTTAATTTGTCCTTTTCTGAGAACACTGAAGGCCCCTCCCTTTGCCTTTGGCTTTGGGCCTGTACGCCGGCAGCAGGAAGATCCCCTTTGTGGGCATGGCGTCCGGAGGTCCTTCCTGCCCTGGCGCAGGGCCTTCACCACTTTGAGGGCTCTTCCCGGGCTCTCCCTCTGTGCTCACCTAGTCCTTCCTTGGCACCCTGCCCTGAAAGTAAAGAACAGGCCTTGTTCGCAGCACAGCATCCAAAGCTGATAGACCTTTTCTCCCCCCACAAACAGGGTATCAGCTGTGCAGATCAGACGTGGTTTCCCAGCTGGAGCAAGGGGTGGAGCTGTGGAGGGAAGAAAGAGGATTTCCCCAAGGCCTGAGTCCAGGTGAGCTCCTGCCCTGGGGGGCAGGCCCTGGGAAGTGTGGGCTGCAGATTTTCTTGAGTGAGTTATATTTTCGGGGGCCCTGGACTCTCTGCACTTCCTTTTGGCCTCAGAAGATGAATGGTTATGTCTCTCGAAGATAGTTGCACGTAGTGTCCTTTATCCTGTTCCCTTTCCTTTGACAGTTTTCCTTCTCTTTACCCTGCCAACATCCAGTCTTGAATTTATTTTTTTCTCTTATCTCAGTCTTGAAAATCCTCCCAGGTCTTCGGTCCTGAGATGCACCTCGGCTCCCTGAGGCGCCCCTCCTTGCGTCCCCCTCTGTGTGACGCTCAGTGTTCGCATCGTCCTCCCACAGGCCGTACGTGCTCTCCAACAGTCTACTTCCTTGAATGCCACACTAGAATTTTTCTTATTTACATTATTTTAGACAAGGAAAGACAAGAAATAATATCCATACAAGATATCTGCAGAAAGGATCTGTCTGATTGCACGTCAATGGTAAGTTTCAAGGACTGAAACCCCTTCTGTCCATTAAAGACATGGGAACTGGCAGATTTTTAAATGCAGCACATGACTCTGCTGTTTGAGGCAGGTGTAAATGTTGCCTCCACAGGAAGTTTTGGGTAGTTTGAATTGAGAGAAAAATTAATGTGTGCTCAAAACCATAATCTGAGTTCTTATAAAAGAATAGTTGCATGAACATGACTCACACATCTAGTCTTTGAGACTAATGAAGCCTTTAAAATAAATCTGATAGCTCTGCAGTGGAGATGTTATGAAAGAGGAAATCTCTTTGCATTGTAGAAAAAGACACACCTATGTAAATAGCATGGGAAAGACTTTTAACCAGAGATACACTGGGCATGAACAAACTAGAAGTCATATGCAGAGAAAAGACTTAATGAATGTGTGTGAGAAAGTCCTTAGCAGCCTCTCATCTCTTTCAAACAGCAGGGATTTCACACTGGAAAGGATGCCTGTAATGTAGTGAGTATGGGGAAGTTTTCACTTACAGATCCTGGTGCCTCAACATTTGTTACATCACATGGGGAAAAATCCCTGTAAACGTAGTGAATGTGGGAAGGAAATCTGCCAGAGCTCTCAGCTTTCTCTACACAAAAGGACACACACTACTGAAAAAAAACCCTAAAAATATGATAAATGTAGGAAATGCTTCAGCCTAATTTTTATTCACACCAAAGAATTCACACTGGAGAGAAACCTTATAAATGTAAGGAGTGTAGGAAACAGTTCAGCCAAAATTCTAACTTAAACTCACACAGAGGAAGTCACACAGGAGAGAAATCCTGCACATGTAATAAATGTGGGAAAGCTGTCTTTTATCCTTCCTCCTGTAGTTAACATAGGAGAGTTCCCACTGGAGAGAAATAGGAGTTCTTAGGTCAAAACTTTGGTCTTAGGCAGCATGAGTGTTCACGCTAGAAAGGAAATCTGTGTATCAGATGAATGTGGCCAAAATTCCAAGCATACATCTCACCCTTACGAGTGAAATGAAAGCCTCCAGTCACCACATCATGACTGGGGAAGAGGCGTCCTGACTCTCAGCTCTGATGCACACACCAGGGCCTCACACGGGAGACGCTGCGTGCATGTGGTCAGCGTGCCTTTGGCTCTGATCTGCCCTAAAGCTGCGTGAGCAGACTCTGCACTACAGCACAGGCTACAGAAAGTTTCTATAACACACTTCGTCAAAGTATTCAGAATTTTGCCAAATAACCTATTACAAAGAATTTAAGATGGAAATGTAGATGTGTGCTGTGATCAAGAATTGTTTAATGAAGAATTTGTAACAAAAAATTAAATTATTTCACTAGATTAGTATGTGTAATCATAAACATGGTTAAAATTGTTCCTAAAAAATCTAGTACGTTGTTCAATTTGTATTTTTATGCAGCTTTAACCGTAATTACAGAGGCTTGGAAAATAACGTAAATAAACCGAAAAACAATAATACAAAATAATGTGATTTAACTGTTATATCAGTGTTTACAAATATATGTACATGATATCAAGTAATGTAAACACAGAAGAATAAACAGTTTGTGACTCAAAGTCGGATGTTAAAATAATACTGCTCTTTTTAAAACGTCAGCCCTGTCGGTGTGTTCCCACCTGCCTGCCACAATCACTCCTGTCTTGAACAGGTCAGAGAAGGAGAGGGAGGGCATGGAAGGCCGGAAGACCAGGACGCCAGGCCCGAGTCGTGGGAAGATGCTGCAGAAGGAGGAGTGAGTACAGGTGTGGAAGCCCGTGGCCGGAGTCTGAGCCCAAGGCCGCACTGGGCAGGGGCAGACTGCGGGGAGCCCTCGGGGAGCCTCGGGGCTGGCGGAAGCAGAGGAGAGGGAGAGACAGGAGACCAGTCGCCCCGTGTGGATGCAGAGGGGGCCTCTGGCGGTGGGCTCACCGCTGTGGAGAGGCTGAGCCGCAGGGAGAGGCCTGAGCAGGGGATGAGCTCGACTTTGGGACAGGTACTGGCGATCCCAGGAAGGGGCCCAGGGAGGGAGGGACAGGGTGGTTAAAGGGCAGGATGGGGGAGTGTGGGGTACACTGAGGGGACCAGGAGTTGGGTCTGGAGTAGGGTGTGGGGCAAGGAGAGCAGGTCTGTGGTAAGTCTGGTTCTTTCTCTTCTTTCCCAGTGCCCTCTGGGAATTCTGCCATATAAATTAGTGCCTTGGAACTCTCTGGTAGTGACTTTGCCAGGCGGTATTCTCAGTCCGCCCCAGGATTCTGCTCCTGGGGTTGACTTTCTCTCTTGGCTTCGGTTCTGGACCTGTGAATGTGGTGGAACATTGTTCTCCTAGTCAGGTCACATGGCACGGCAATGGTCAAGGGGTTTGCAGATGCCATCAAGGCCGTTACTCAGTTGATCGTAGGATCACAGGGAGTTTTTCCTGCATGTGCATGATCTATCTGTGCCTTTTAAAGAGGGACCGCAGGTCAGAAACGGGATGTCACAGAGCTTTGAGACCAGGGACAGTCTGCTGCGGGCCTCGGGAAACAGAGGAGGCGTCACCTGCCCCTGGTGGGAGAGCTAAGCTGTGGTGTGTGGAAAGGGTGTTGAGGAGGAAATAGGGGGGTGACACCTCTGAGAGTAGCTTGGTTTTGGAGCTTTTTGTGTACTTGAAAGTGAAATTAACAAGAATGGGCAGAAAAATTGAAAAGCAAATAAATGAGCCTAATTTTATATTAAATGACTACCATAATCATATAAAAAAACAGAGAAAAAGACAAATTCAAGTAATTTTTTAACATAATGTTTTTACTATATACACTCTATTGAAAAGCGAAAGTACCTGCAAATTATCTTCATGGCTGCTTGATTTTTTTCCCCCCGGTATTGTGGGTGTAGCAATTTTGGAAGTATTTTTTATGTTGCATATGACTTAAGTGCATGATTAAACGTATTTAGGTTTTTCAGCCGAGGTTACCCACTACTGGAAAACGGAGGTACAAAAAAAACGGAGGAAGAAGACAAGGCTCGGTGTGTTGGACTGGAATCAAACTTACTAGCAGGAACTCATGCTGTGTGTTGTGTGTGTGTGTGTGTCTGCTTCCTAACGCTGTCCTCCGAAAGGGCCTAGAAGCAGTGACACCTCAGTCACAGGGGCAAATACCACTCAACTCTTGGTCTTTACATTCATTCTTCATTACTGGGAACCAGGCTTCCTTGGAGAAGTGTTTGGTCGAGGCAGCCAAACGGGATCGGCACTGGAGGAAGGAGGGCACGAGATGAGCCAAGGAGCCTTCTGCTGGGAAGGAAGGAAGTGCTCGCAGAAACCCTCCCCAACAAACACAACACAAAACAGGGACGGGTAAACGGAAACAGGAGTGAGATTGAAGGGCCCGCCTGGCCATATTCGGGACGAATTTATCATCAAAATGAAGCATGACAGTAATTGGCCGCGGCGCACTGAGTGACACAGTGAAGAGCTCACAGTGAAGGGAATGGACGCGCTCACGCATGTAGACATACGTCCTTCGTATGTAGAGGGAAACGAAGCACCCTCCCCTGCAATGTACCAACTGGAAATAATAGTAGGAAAGGGAAGTGATTGCAGGAAAAAAAAATCACCATGTGAGATGACCATGGTGAAGAGATCAACAGGTAAACACTACTTTGAGCATGTAATTGAAATTTGCCATCCATGAAAAAAACTGACCACATAATGAAAAAACATTGATATCGTGGCTCCTACATCACTTGCGGAATGTTGCCAAAAAATGAGAACAGAAAGACCACCACCACATACACTAAACCTCACAATGAGAAAACAGAAGGAAACACCATTTGGGGAATTCCCGTAAACAACTGGTTCCTGTTCTACAAAAATGACAATTTCATGAAAGATACAGACTGAAAACTGCTCTAGAACACAGAAAACTAGCAAGATATGAAAACTAAAAGCAACGTGTGATCTGGGATTGGATGTGGTGTAGAAACTAAACAATAGCATTTATATTAGCATAAAAAAGAAAGGAATATATTTAACATGATAGGTAGAATTGTTCGCTGAAAACTACAGAATATTTTGAAATAAAAGATAACCTACAAAAGGGAGGTGCCCCAGTGCCCTTAAGGAAAATGATTATGGATTGGAGGACTTAATATTAGAAGACAATACTCCCAAATTGATCTACAGAGTCTGTGTAATACGTATCAAAATCCCTGGCGGCATTTTTAAAGAGATTGACAAACTGACCATAAAATTCACATGGAAATGCAAGGACCTAAAATAGAACCACCTTGAAAGGAAAATTAAATTGAGTGTCACACTTTCCAGTTTTAAATCTATCCACAAAGCTACATTAATCAAGATCTGTGTACTGGATAAGAATAGACTTAAGAGTTCAATGGAATAGAATTGAGAGTTCAGAAATGAGTCCATATTTATGATCGATTTGACAAGGTGCCAAGAATATCCAGTGGGAGATACAACAGTCTTGTTAACAAATGGTACTGGAGCACGTGGGCATCCACTTGCAAAGGAAAGAAATTGTACCCCGACTTAATATCATATACAAGAAAGATCTCAGATGGATAAGATACCTAAATAAAAGAGCTACATTATAAAACTCTTGGAAGAAAACACAGATGTAGATATTTGTGTCCTTCAAGTAGGCAATGGTTTCTTAGGATAGAAAAAGCACGTGCAATCAAAAGTTAAACTGGACTTCGTCAAAATGGAAGTGCTCGCAGGAACACTGATGGGAAAGCTGAAAGCCAGCCCACACCTGGGAGAGGGTAACGGCGAATCCCGTAGCTGAAGAGTGGACTGGAGTGTCCGGAATGCGCAAAGAATTCTTATGAACCAAATTTTTAAAAAGCAGACAAGATTTTTGAATAGATATTTCTCCAAAGAAGATAGAAAGATGACCAATAACACAAAAGATGCTCAAAATTTCAGTCATTATGGAAATGCAAATCAAAACTATAGTGAGATGCCATTTTTCTGTCACTGGTATGACTAGAATAAAGACAGATGACGAGAGCATATGGAAAAAGTGGAGTCTCATACACTGCAGGCAGGAGTGTACGTGGGCAGCTGTGTTGGAAGGCAGCCTGGCAGTCTCTCAAAAAGATAAGCATAAAGTTAACATATAATTGGAATCCCATTCCTACTGGTGGATCCAGAAATGAAAACATGTTCACAGAAAAATGTATACATGAGTGTTTTTAGCAGGATTTTTCATAATCAAAAGGTGGGAACAACTCAAATGTCCATTAATTGATAAATGAATAAACAACATGTGCCATATCCGTACAATGGAATATTCAGCTATTAAAAAACTGGAAGTGTCAAATGCCTGCTCCTGTGCCCATGAGCCTTGAGAGCTGTAAGTGACAGGACCCTGACGCAGAGGGTACGCGCTGTGCACTTCAGTTCATATGAAATGCCCGGAATAGGCAAGTCCGCAGAGACAGGAAGTAGACTGGTGGTTGCCAGGGACTGGGAGCGGGGCACAGGGCTTGACTGCTAATGCGCGTAGGATTATTTGGGAGTGATGATAATGTTTTGTATTTAGTGGGGATGTTTGCACAGCCTTGTGAATATAATTAAAAAACAGGAACACTGGGTTTCAGTTAAAGAGTGTATTTTATAGAATGTGAATTGTATCTCAAGTGAAAAGATGACACAGGCTCCAAACCAAGCCTGCAAGTGACATGAGCCCAGTTATGGGAAGAAGAGTGATGGCAGGGGAGCGTCAGACCGGATCCAAACGTCCCCGTGCCTGCAGACAAAAGCAGCAGGGTCCTGGGTTCCCGTGAATCTGGGGCCCAGGAGCCTCAAGGCCGCAGGGCTGGACCCTCTGCATCCTCCTGATTTCAGCTCCCAGAGAGACCGACTCCTGCTCGTCTGACTTCCCCTCTGGCTTGTCAGGAGCCCCTCAGAAACTAGAGGAGTGGGTGAGAGGACAAGCCCGGGGCCCTCTCACCCGCCCGCTTCCTTTGATTTTTGGCCAGAGGGGGAACAGCACCAGAGAGGAAGGCTCACGATGTCATGGTGTGTGGAATTTGGGGGGAAAAAGTTTAAAATATTCGCATCTTTTATGTGGTTTGCTAGTAAGGGCAAGGGACGTCACAACACAAGTCTTGGCTGCTTTCCTGTGGAAACTGCACCCGTAACCATGCAGAAAAATAGTGTGAACACAACACAGTCCAGGTAACAGTGGATAGAAATGTGACTCGCCGATCCCTCTGTCACCTCAACCAAGAGCTGTGCCTTGGGTCCCCCCGTGGCTGCATTGGAACCCGATTCCACGGGTGCAGCCAGAACTGCTGCTGACTGGAGGGCAGGCAGGAAACATGAGTGAGGACCGTGGGTGGGGTGTGAGGACCCATGAGAGGACCCAGCGTATCTCCAGCTGATGCCTTTTTCTATGACCCACTGGGGATGCCTCAGCGGTCAGGGGAGTAATGACCACAGCCACAGACACCCCCTTGCCCTCACCCCTCGGGGCTCCAGCTGATCAGGGCAGGTTCTCCTCCCGTCCCCGCCAGATGCAGCCAGCAGTGTGTGCGGGTTCTGCAGCCCAGCCCGCCCTGGCTTGTCCGTCCTCGCTGGGGAGTTTACCTTTTGATCTGATGGCCTGAAGTTGTGTTAAAAACTTGAGAGCACAGATTCACGTTGATAGACTAGAATGACATCCATGCCTTTATACACATGCACATGTTCATATTTATGCACACACATCAGTGATCACCAGCAAAAGACTCAGAAACATGCTTGTAAATGAACAAATATTGGATTTATTACTCCTTTTATCTAGAGATGAGTTTCAAAATGGAACTTGGGAACACTTTGGTAAGAAGGTGTCAGAAGGGCCTTCTCAAAGGATTCGCACTCATGTTTGTTCAGTTTGCGGGTGGGTAAAGAAGCGGTCATTCGATCCAGATTGATCCAGGCAGGGGCAATTCTATGCCTGGTGTCTTACAGGGGCTTTTTGCTATGGAGGGCAACCAGCCAAGACTAAGCTGCCATTCGCAAAGAAGCAGCAGTCACTTAGACGGGCCGAGAGGGGGCTGGTTGGTGCCCGGTGGTGTGGGCGAGGTCTGTATTTTGTCCCTGCCCAGACATGCTAACTGGTTGGGGCTGTTTTTGTCTTGCTCCATCCTGGTCATGTCATGGCCCTGAGTGAGGCTGACGGTCCAGGCGTGTCTGTTCACCAGGGGACTGCCATGGCCAGCTGGTGGGTGACGAGGTCTGCCTTTGTCCTCACACAGTGCAGAGGACAGGGGCAGAAGGTGAGCTGGAGCGTCAGGGTGTCTGTTCTGGACTCTGGGACTGGGGTAAAAGCAGAGGTGCAATAAAAACCCAACAGAAGATAAAGGAGCCCCAGGGAGCCTGCCTGGAGGAGGAAGGGAGCCAGGCTGAGGGCAGGATGAGCTTGCATCCGGGCAGGTCCACTCCCCTCGGGCTGGTCCCTCTGCAGGGTGAAAATATTCACAGATATTTTATGGCACCCCTGAATGTTATAGATTACGATGGTCTAGTTGACAGTAACTTGAATAAATATTGAAATAAAATACTCTTTACCAGGAAATGATTTATTTACTGTATGCCGAAGTGTGAATCACTTAACATTTCAAATGAGCACATTGACCAATATTAGGAATTCAGTAATACGAAGTGAATAATGACTTTATGTGGAAAATGAAGGAACATTAAAATATAGCTTCACTACACTAAGATTTGTGCATTACATGTAGCTCAAAATAAAAAATACAAAAATATATAAAACTTCATATAACCCATTCTTTTTGCAAATATACACTTTTTGAAAAGTTAATTAGCATGGAAGATTTTTTTAGGGCAGTGACAATGCTCTGTAAGTTATTATAAAGGTACATACATGTCTTTATACATGTGTCCAGACCTACAGAATGTGCAACACTGAGGGTGACCCTAACGTGGATGAGGGACTCTGGGTGATGGTGAGGTTACCATATGGGTTTGTCACTCGTAAGGAGGGTACCACCTGGCGGGGCATTTTGACAGTGGCGAGGCTGTGTGTGTAGACAGGCAGAGGGCACATGGGAACCCTCCGTACCTTCCTCTGAGTTTTGTTGTAAACTAAAACTGCTGTAAAAAGATAGCCAAAAAGTCAACCAGAAAATACAAACACTTCAAGAAACATGATTTTCTTTGTTGGCCCAACAATACCTCATAACTTCTCTATAAATATTGAGAAACTTAGAAAGCATTCCATTAAAATTGTATTGACATATTTTATCAAACTCTAGCATAATGTTACTAATGTAGTTTATATTAACCATACTTTATAATTTGATATTCATAAAGTATTACTTTTAATACTTTCTGTGTAACTCAGTATTAATAGTATAAGAATAGATTATGTAATGTTAATAAAGTTGAAATTCATTTTTGCCATTAGAATATTCCATTATAATTTAATGTTTTCATTAATTACTGCATGTATATTGCGATTATTACATTGCTATTTAAATTCACCCTCTGTTTTAACATTAGATGTTTTAGCATAGTTTAGTTTTATCAAAATCTTCTCATTGGTTTTCTTTTGAATTCCAGACATGATTGCAGGTGCCTGTCATCAAACCCCGCTGCTCCGAGATCTGAGGCTCTCACTGCCTGGGCGGTGCTGAAAGAAACGTAACTTTGTTTTCACCTCAGTCATATTTGATTTCTAATGTTAATTAAAACAATTTCTAAGATGTGAAAATTCCTAAGAACACTGTCTTCATTAAGTGCAGTAGAAATTGGTACAGATGAACCGTAGTTCTTTTCATTCACTCAGAAGCTCTCAGATCTCTTCCATATGGTGTAGTCACGGCTCCCCAGTTGGTGACCTTTCTCTGGGCTTTAGTGTCCCCCAAAGAACAGCCATGCAATTTGTCTTCAGCAGCTAATAAACTGAGTAGGAGATACCTTTGCATTTTAGATGTAGTGGTGATAGTAATCTTGTAAATACAGCACTTATCACCCAGAGATTGCTTTCCCGTATGGAAAAGACTAGAAGCTTGGTGATTGCTCTCTGTGTGGACCCCAGGCTCCCGCTCACTTCCTCATGGAACCGCCTGGGCTCTGGTGCTGTAATGAGGAGGGTCCCTGAGCAGCCAGTCAGGGGAGACGCACATTTGCAAATGGCTCTCTTGAGTTCATAACAGTAGAACTGGCTTTGGAGAGATCCACATGACGCTCAGCATCTTCTATGTTTAAATGTAAGACTCTCCAGGTGTTAACACATGTCTTGCAGAGGAAATTCTCAAAGGATTGAGGATCTACTTTCTTAATAGGGAGGTTTTGTCCACATGTAACTGTAGTGTGGGGCAGTGGACGCACCACGGTAGAAACAGCTGGTTCCGCCGGGTCATGTGAGGACAGGGCCAGGTGACAGCTGGTCGCGGATGCACAGTAGTGGAAGTGCAACAGCGAAGCAGAGAATCTGCTGATAAATATTCTTGTCACTGGTGAGGTGGCAGATCAGCTAGTGTGTCCCACCGGCTGCTCTTCACTCTGAAGCTCAGAAGGTGGGGAGGGGAGACAAGCACCTTTCAGTCAAGGCCCCTGACGTGCCCACAACTCTGACATGGTCCAGTCTGCGTGGCCCTTTTGCTGGTTACTAGCCACATTTTATGGGGATGAGAAGCAGTGACACCCCTGGGGTGGTTTTCCCTTGGTGACAACAGTGGCAGCGGCAGGGAGCCTCCCCAGTGACATACAGGCACGGAGAGCCCTGGTGTCACTGTCGTCCCACGGGACTGCATCTCATGGGTTCTAAGATACATATGGCAAGATCTGGAAAATTTGTCATTTAAAATTCTTTGACATTTTTGTTTTGGAGATGAAATGACCAAATTTGACTTTATTCAGCCAAGCCTATCTATGAAGTATGACAAAAAAAGTAATTCTAGAAAGAAAAGACAAGGTGACATCAGCAAGATGGAGAGCTAGCGGGTACCAATGCTTGTCCACCACAGAAACAGCAAAAGCAACGGATAGGCCACTGCAAACTGATGCAAACAGCTCCGGGAAAGGCCTGGACTACAGAGAAGAAGTGGGAAAACCCTGCAGGTGGGGCGGGAGAGGGGCAGGCGGGAGGGTTGTAAGTCACGGGGCAGAAACAGGCACAGAACACCTGGCTCCCTCTTCTGCTGGCTCAGTCATCACTGGCCCCTTCTGGTGTCGGGCTGCAGGACAAGACGCCGCCTTTCTCCAGGAGGACTGTTCACTGAGGCCAGACCTCGGTTCATCCTGGGTAAATGGACTCAGACAAGGTCCCTATTTGTCCAGCCAGGGGACCAATTTGCCCCGAGCCAGGCCTCAACTGAATTTAGGCTCAACTGGAGCTGGGTTAATGGCTGTGGTGAGTAAACTATCCTCAGGCAGAGTGGTGCAGAGATGCCCACATGCCTGCTGCGGTTCCCACCGCCACTCAGTGTTCCATACCTGAGCCAAGATGGGAGCCCAGCCTCGTGCCCACGTCTGTGTGAGTGTGAGTGCTCGAAGCTCTGCCCCACCCTGGCCGGGTTTGTTCATTCCCAAACCAGAGGCAGTCCCCATTGGACTCTCGGAATGTCCTCGCAGTCCTGACTGGCTTGGTCTCTATTTCCTCCTCCACGGGGCTGGCACCGGGTTCCTGGTGTCCATCCACCCTCGCCGCACCCCAGATGTCATCAGGAACTTTCTGGCCTGTGAGTGTTTAAAAATGTTTCTTACCTCTTCACACGCCAGAGATCACCTTCTTCTACAGAAACTTTCCACATAAATTTCCGCCAAGGCACACAAGGGTTTCAACATGGCCAGAAAGGAACCTGAGAATTAAATATACAAATATCATGGGTGAGGAAAAAAAAACCTTAAAATTACCCTAATCAATGGAAGAGTTCATGGAAATCCTTCCAACATTTTTCTTCCTCATGTCCTGAAGCCAGGAATCATGCTCTGAACAAAGGGATTTTTAAAATAATTTCATAATTTACTGTTACATTAAATTAATGTTATTTTAAGTCATTTAAATAACTAACATGACTAAGGCTTAGTTATTAAAATCTCTATGCCCCTTGACTCACATGAATTCCTCAAAATGTCATCAGAGACATCAAAGAGACTACTGATGTGCCTCAACTATTTATCCTTACACAGTGATTCGCTGAAATAAAATCCATCCAAAAAATAAGACCTTTGTAAAGTCTTTGGGCACTTTTTCATATCACCAGATTATTAATAGCTTAGTCACAGGTGCTTACCTGTTTAAAATATTTTGAAATTGTTTTACTGTGGACTGAAACCTAAGTAAAATACTGATCAAATATAGGACATTCACAAAGTTAGCAATTTGTTGTTCATTATCCTTATTATGAAAATTTTTAAATGAGGAATCACTGTTAAATAGCAGTTCAAAGACATTTGCTTGACCCCAGTACAGAAATCGCTCTACTGGCTTATTTCCATTAAGAAATAGTACCAGTTACTCCTTTCATTAAAAGTATATCAAATTTCACAAACGGCCTCCTCATTTACATGTATCCCTGTAAGTAAGATACACCCCAAGCACTAAGTGAAGAGCGGTGTGTTTTCGCCACGTCCCGCGGAGGGAGAGGCATTCACACCTGATGCGCCCGCCACGGCCACCAGGTGGCGCCGAGAGCCTGTGGCGTTGGCACCAAGGAGCCATCAGAGTTGCTGCCAGGCCCGTGGTGGGCGAGCACGAAGGGGGACAAGGAGCGGTGGGGCCGGATTTACCATAAACTGCAAGAACTGTAAAAATGGCGTCCTATACTGTGCATCGTGGCAGCTGACAAGGTAGATAACAAAACCATGTCACGTACCTTTTATATATTAACATATGCATGTCAAAGTTAGAAATAACTGAAAACCAGTGAATCAACCAAGTAGCAGCTAGTAAAAGTTTAGCGAGCCAGGACTCAAGCCAAGCACGGCTCGAGGCCGAGGCCGTGATGGGAGCAGTGCCTGATGAGGCCTCACAGAGGTTGGTTGTATCAGCCTTTCCTTCAATGGCAGGGGGCTGGTGTAGGTGACCTCCTGTCGGCCTCGGGGAACAGCTAAGATCTGCTGTAAAGGATCTGCAGAGGCATAAACGAGAAATGACCCAGTAAGTCACTCTTACTTCCTAAATGGCTTCGCTGGTATGACTAAGTGGTTTTTCATGGAATTTTCAAGGCTGGTCTCCATTTGTGATTTAACAGGTGTTCCCACTACCGTCATTATTGCAGTTGCTGGGCGGGGCAGAGAAGCCTTCACACCTGATGTGTCCCCGTGACTACCGGGTGGTGCTGAGAGCCCATGGCTGGGTTCTGAGCGATCAGACGTTGAGAGCAGCGGGCCGGGCTGGGCTGGGCGGAACCAGGACCTCACGGAGGACTCAGAGCTGCCGCCACCTCGAAGGTACTGATTGAAAGGTCTCCACTCCCTGTGCTGGGAGGGCGAGTGACGGAGGGCACAGAAGGAGCAGGGCTCTTTGGACTGAACTCGTGGAGGAAGGGGCTCCTGGGCCGGGGGTGCGGGGTGATAAACACCGGGACAAGACAGCGTTGGAGGGGGCATACCATTAATTCCAAAGACGTAAAAACAGCCTCTGCCAGGCACCCAAGCGGCTGGCCAAGGACAGTGTGATTAGAGAAACGCGGCCCAGGTTTGGTCTCCAGGTGTCTGCAAGGTACTGCAGACAGTTCGACATTGGTCTCGGCAGAGTTTCTACCAGTTTTCTTGGAATTGTGTTGTAATCGGACGTGAAGTGCAGAAGGCTGTGTAGAGGTCAGGAGCTTGTAAGTGAGGCCACGCCCAGAGGGGGTGGGCACACCGGCTCCCCGCCCCACATCCTGTGGGGACCGTTCGCAGGGACGGCTTTTTGCTTGGCGTCCGGCACCCCCACCACGTGTAGCGGCTGCGTGGCGTGTCCCTCATCCTGGGAGCCTCTGAAGCTTCCCCCAGCCGGTGGGGCGCAGCACAGAGGCGGCAGCCCCGGGCCCGCGGGATCTGATCACACGCACGTGCCGGCACTGCCCACTCCCCCGTTTCTGTCCAAGAGCAGGTGAGCCGCGCAGGTGCGGCGGGGGGCGGGCGGGGGAGCGGCCGCTGGCCCACCTGGGGGAGGCTGTGCAGGGGCCCAAGGGCGGCGGCCGGTCCCTGACGCCCGCAGAGAGCGCAGGGGGTCACTTGCCATGCCGAGTGTCAGGCTCAGCAGGAGCCCACGTGGAATTCACTTAATTTCTTGATCTGTCTTGGTGTATATTCTAACGCAAAACTTGCTTTTAGGTAGTGAGAACTTATTTACTCTTACACTCGGATATTTTTTTGGTTTAATTTGTACATTATAATCTTTTATTGATAAAAATATATGTATTTTGCTTAATTTTCAATGTAACCCTAAAAGGTTATCATTAATTCCACATCTCCTTCCATATTTCAGCAATGATAATGTGTATTTACAGTATGTCCCTGTGTTAAGTGGTGACACGTTACCTCTGCAGGGATGGAAGCACACACACCTGAGGGAGACACACGGCTGCTGTTAGTTACGCTGGCATTATTTTTCCAGTGTGAATATAGAATATTATTAGGCAAAAGTTTCTTAAGCAGTTGAAGTTTTCTCCCAGAATTCAGGTTCATTCTGAACACAATACATATAACGTCAGGTTTTTCAGTCGTTGCAAGATAACCAAGCCTGTCGCACTGCATCTCTTATGAAGGAAACAGGAGGGCGCTGTCGTCTTCAGGGGCGCCTGCCAGAGCTGGGTGCCCCCGCACACCACTGCCCAGTCCCTTGTCACACAGCCCCTTCTCTTATCACCGCCTCTTCCAGCTCCTGGACACAACATGGTCCGTTTCTCCTGCCCCAGGGGAACTCAGTGTGCTGAATCCCTGCCCTCAGCCCCTGCCCGTCACCGTCACTGCCCAGGTTAATCCCCAGGGACCCATTTTAATACTATTTGCCGAGACCCCAGGTGCTCATGTGCCTGTGCCTGTGACCTTTGAATGTGCCTCTGATCAGGTGCCTGCCCCCCTCACGGCTGCATCTGACAGCACACGACCAAGATACAGATTCTGGTCTAATTATAGAGTCACCAGTCTCTAACTGGTTTTAAAATATATTCAAATAATCTTCTTGGAATCTCTCAAGGCTGGCCTTTGTCCTCTTACTATCCACTGTCACAGGGATGGCATGCATTTCTTTAATTTCATCCACTGTTACCTTTATGAGAGCAGCAATGTCTTAAAGCTCACGTGTAGGTCTCCCTTGTGAGGTGTAATTTCGGCTTGTGTGTGGTACAGGCACCTAACATGAAATATATATCAAACCTATTAACTTCTCTTCCAAGAAAAAATTTCTTTAGTCTCCAGTCTTAGATAATGCCTCTACTACATATCAAGGGAATAATATTGGACACGATCCTCAGAACCACACAAACGTGACCAAGAATTGTTCTCTCTACACTGATGTCAGGTTTTCAGTGCTATTGTAAATAAGGAACTTTAAATTCCAATTGTTCACTGTTTTTACAGAGGTAAGCAATTGATTTTTAAAACCTCCATCCTTTTTTATCAGTAATACTGGAGAGTTGGCTTGATTTCAGTTAGACTTTCCCAAGTTGTGGCCCTGATAAAGCTGAACATTGAATTTCAGGGATTCAGCAGGACACACGGAAGGGGTGCGGGCTTGTCCGTCACCTGAGCACCAAGCGCCCTGAGCTGCGTTTGCCCAGGTCGAGGAGAAGCCGGGGCCGCCGTCGGGTGAGTGGGGCGGGACGGGGTCGAGTGCGAGCGCAGGGCCGGTCCTCGGGGTACGTGTGCGGGTCTGGGGCTTCCGGGGAAAAGTCCCGGGGCAGCTCGGGGCGGACACCGTGTGCCGCCGGCCGGGCCCGGGCCCCGCGTCCCGGCAGCGCGAGGGGCGCGCGGGCTTGTCCCCGGTGCGGGGCGGCGGGAGTGTCACTCCGCGTTCAACACGGACTGAGTTCTAGCTGGTTTCCGAGCGGCGCCCACGGGCACCCGCCCGGCACCCGGGTGCACGGCGGGCAAGGCTGTGCTCGCTTCCCGGGACGCGGGCAGACGCCGTTTCCCGCCTTCATCTCCGCGGCTTCCGGGGAATCGTGGAGACAAGTCTCCCCAGGGGGACGCAACTCAGTTTTTGTCTCGGGATTCTATTTGGTTTTATTTATGTGGAACTTTATTCCTTTTTAAATTGAGATATATGCAATAAAACGCAACAAGCGCAGTGCCCAGCGGGATGAATGCTGGAGGGTGCGCCCTCGTGTAGTACCCACCAGGTCAAGACCCCAAACATCCTCGTTTATTTTTTCCCCTTTTGTCTGTTTCGCTCGTCTCCCTGGTGCCTTCCCTTAGGGCCCGCCGTTCTCCTCTCTGTGTTTATGAGCATGTATCAGCCCGCTTCCTTTGTTTTGTTGCTTAGATTCAGCATATAACTGAAATTCTACTGTATTTGCCTTTCTCTGACTGACTGACCTCACTGGGCATGATACCCTCCAGGCCACCCATGTTGCTGCAGGCGGCAGGATTTCGTTCTGTTTTATGGCTGAATAATATTCTACTGTATACATGTACCACATCTTTATTCATCTACTGGGCATTTGGGTTGCTTCCATATCTTGGCTACTGTAAAGAATGCTTCAGTAAACATAGGGGTGCATGTATCTTTTCCAGTGAATGATTTTCACTTCTTCTAGTAAATTCCCAGAGGCGGAATTGCTGGGTCATAACGTACTCCTGTTAGTAGTTTATTGAGATACCTCCCGACTGCTACGCACAGTGGCTGCACCAATTTGCAATCCCACCAGCAGCACACGAGGGTTCCCTTTCCTCTCCATGCCCGCCAGCACTTTATTTCTTGTATTGTCGATATTCGCCACTCCGACTGGTAGGAGGTGATGTCTCCTGATGGTTTTCATTTGCATTTCTCTGGTGATTAGTGAGGTTGAGTATCTTTACATGTGTGTGTAGGCCATCTGCATTTCTTTGAAAAAAATGTCTACCCTTTTTTTTACTGGGTTATTGCTTATGGTGTTGAGTTGTGAGTTCTTTGTATTATTTGGATGTTAGTCCTTTATCAGATACATCATTTGCAAATATTTTCTCCCGTACAGTAGGTTGCCTTTTTGTTTTGTGGATGGTTTTTGCTGTGCAGAAGCTTTTGAGTTTGATATACTACCACTTGTTTATATTTGCTTTTGTTTCCCTTGCCCAAGGAGACCTGTCCAGGAAAAGATTACTAATATTAATGTTCAAGAGTGTACTGCTTATGTTTTCTTCTACAAGTTTTATGCTTTGAGGTCTTATATTTAGGTTCTTAATTCATTGACGTTTATTTCTGTGTATGGTGTTAGTGACCCAGTGTTCCCAGTGCCATTTGTTGAAGAGACTGTCTTTTCACTATTGTATATTGTTGCGTCCTTTGTTGTACATTAATAGACCATGTAAGTGTGGGCTTACTTCTGGGTTCTCTATTCTGTTCCTTTAACATATGTGTATTTTTGGGCCAACAACACACTGTTTGGGTTACTGTATCTTTTTAGTACCATTGAAATCAGGGAAGTGATAGATTCAACACCACTCGTCATTCTCAAGATTGCTTTGGCTGCTTAGGGTCTTTTGGGCTTCCATACACATTTTAGGAGTATTTGATCTAGCTCTTTAAAAAATGTCATTAAAAGCTTATATTGCAAAAGAAAACGTTAAAAATTTGAATAAATATATAAATGGAAAAAAAAAAGCTTATATTGCTTTGCATTTGGGAAGCAGAGTGTTTTAATTATTTTGATGGACATGCATTGAATCTGTAGACTGCTTTGGGCAGCACACCTATTTTAATAATATGAATTCTTCCTGTGTGTGAGCGTCGGATATGTTTCCATTTGTGTTATCTTCAATTACTTTATTAATTGTTTTATAGTTTTCATAGTACAGGTCTTTCACCTCCTTGGTTTAATTTATTCTAGGTATTTTGTTCTTTTTTGATGCAGTTGTAAATGGGGTTGATTTCTTCTGTTAGTCCATTATTTGTACATAGAAACACCACAGATTTCTTTTTTTCATTTTCTGTCGAATTTTTTTTTTCCTTTTTTTAAAATTAAGGTATCATTGATATATAGTCTTATGCTCAGGTCACAGATTTCTATATAGTGATTTGTGTATCCTGTGACTTTACAGAATCCATTATTAATTCTTACAGTTTTTTTTTTGTGGAGTCTTCAGGGTTTTCTATATATGGGGTCATGTCTCCTGCAAATAGTGACACTTTAGTTCCTCCTGACCAACTGAGATGCCTTTTCTGTTTCTTATCTTATTGCTGGGGTAGGACTTTCAGATCTACACTGAATAAAAATGGTGAGAGTGGACATCCTCGTCCTGTGCCTCCTCTGGGAGGAAAAGCTCTCTGTCTTTGCCAGTGAGGGTGATGTGAGGTGTGGGGTCATCACATGGGGCCTTTTCTTATGTTGAGGTGTTTCCCCCATGTCCACTGTGGTGAGAGATTTTATTACAAGTGGATGTTGAATTTTGTCGAAGGCTTTTCCAGCATCTATTGAGATGATTAGTTTTTATCCTTCCATTTAAAAAAAATATTTGCCATATTGCTTATATTGCTTTGCTTTGGGGAAGCAGATTATTTTACTTATTTTCTTCTTCCTTCTTGCCGGGTATCTTTCTCTCTCCCTTGCCCTCCCCCACCCTCCCCCATCCCCCTTGCCCCCCTTCCCACCTCCATCCTCCTCCCCCGTCCTGCACTCCTCCCTCCCCATCTCCCCTCCTCCCTTTTTTTCATGGAGGTTCACACAATAAACTGCAGAAGAGTTAGCGTCCCCCTTGGGCAGGGAGTGTCTTTTCGTATCCCCTCAGTTCCAGTGTGTGCGTGACTTCAGGCCTGAAGTGAGTCTCTTCAAGGCAGACAGCACATAGTTGGGTCTTGCTTTGTTATCCATTCAGATACCCTATGTCTTTTGATTGCAGCGTTGAGTCCATTTACCTTTAAGGTAATTATTGCTACGTATGTACCCACTGTCATTTCATTAAATGTTTCCTTGTGGTTTTTGTCACACCTGATCTTCCCCTCTTGCTTTCTTTCCTTGCACATTATGACTTGTTAGTGTTATGGTTGGACTCTATTTTTTGTCTGTCTGTCGTAGGTATTTGGTATTTGTGTATGACTGGGTTTATATTTGACGCCATATGTATACACCAGTCTATGGCAAGTTGATGGTCAGTGATGTGGAATACATCTTAATAGCACTGCATTGTTTCATTCCACCTCCCCCACATTTCATGTTTATGAAATCTGCTTTTATACTTTTTTATTCAGTGACTGATTTTACTACTATTGTCATTTAGCCTTCAGACTAGCTTTAAAGTGGTTGGTCTACCGCCTGTGCTCATATGTTTGCTTTTGCCAGTGAAATCTTTCCCTTCATGATTTGCTTTCTTCCAGTCAGAGTCTTGCCCTTTCCTCCTTACCAAGTCCCGTTACCTATCTTGCTGGGTGGTGGTCAGTGGTGGCGGAGTCCTGGGTTCACCTGGGAAGCTCTTCCATCCCTCCTTCGGTGCTGGATGCTGACCTTGCCAGGCAAGTTGTCCTTGGTTGAAGGACATTTCCTTTCTGCACTTGAGTGTGTCGTGCCACTCCCTTCTGGCCTGTAGAATTTCTGCTAAAGAATCAGCTGATTAGCCTTATGGGGTCTCCTTTGATGGTAAGTCATTGCATTTCTCTTTCTACTTTTGAGATTCCTTCGTCTTTGATATTTGATATTTGAATCATGTGTCACAGTGTGGGCCTCCTTAGGTTCACCTTGTTGGGGACTGTCTGGGCCTTCTGACCTGGATGGCTGTTTCCTTCCCTGGATTGGGGAAGTTTCCCTTTTTTGTTGTTCAAATAAAAGTTTTCCACCCCTTCCTCTTTTTCTTCTGGGGTACCTATAATGCAAACGTTACGGTGTTAGAGGTTGGCCCTGAGCTCCCTTATTCTATCCGCATCCTTTTGTCTGAGCTTGAGTGCTTTCTGTGACTGGGTTTCATACTGCTTATCTGTTCACCTGCATCCTAGCATCTGCGGTCACATGACAGAGGACAAACTACATTCCTCTCAAGTCTGGTGATCATCCTCATAGCCATTGCTATACATTTTCTACTGGGTAAAGTGCTTAATTCTCTTTCTTTTTCTGGTGTTCTGTCATGTTGTGTTTTTTCAAGCATACTCCTCTGTCTCATGTTGACTTTGTGTGTTTGTTTCTGTAAGTTAGGTGAAAGTCTATCTCCCTGTTTTGAAGCCATGGCATCATGTATGAACATCCCCTGGGTAGACCGCATCTGCCTGGTGTTTTTGGCTGGATGGCTGGGTGGTCTTGAGCCATGATTTCCCAGGTTGGGGGCTCCCAGGGAATTGGCCAGCAGTCTCCCCGGTGGGCACCATCCTGGGCTCTGCTGGCAGTGGCCAGTGTTGAAGGGGTGTTCTCTGGGGGGTTCCTGGGTAGGCAGTGGGCCTGGAGCTTGCTAGTGGGGTTCCTGGTGGGGAAGGGGCCTAGTCCGGGAGTGTTCCAAGTGGGCAATGGCTGGGGTTGCCATACAGGGGCCTAGTGTTGCAGCCTATAAGTTTCCCAGGTGGGCACATTGGTGCTGCAGTGGTGACAGACATGGGCTGAGGGGCAGACTACTTGGTGTCCCATTGGGCACTGGTCAGGGCCACACTGAGAAGGATGGGAGGGAAGGGATGCAAGAGGGTGAATCCACGTGGGTGCCATGCTAGTGCCACCGTGGTGGGACTGGTGGATCTCTGGCAAGTGTGTTTTGGCACAAGTGGGGCCTGGGAGATTGCCTTGGGTAAGTCTGGACTGGTGGGGGTGCCCCGACGCTGTTCCCGTCCACTCTGTCCGTATGTGGGGGAAGAATGTTAAGCAGCGGTGCTCTCCCTGCTTGTGTCCACACTAGCAGTGTGCGGAGGGGAGTGAACAATGGCACTCACCCTGCTCCCATCCCGCTGCTAGTGCGCACGGGCAGCGTGAGCCAACAGCGGCACTCACCAGCGCCTCTGGTCCAGTTCCAGCAGTTCTTCCACCATCTGGCATGTGAGTTCTGAAAATAGGTTTGTTACAAGAGTGCAGCTGCCCTCCACACCCTGAGCCAGTTTTCCTCCTGTGCCAGGGCAGGCCAATCTGCCCTCCAGCTCTCGGTGACAGCCCCCTCCGCAGGTCGGCCTTGCGGGCAGGGCTCCCTGGGTAACTGTCTCTGTCTCTCCTGCCATTTTTTATGTGGTCACCGTATCCCTGCCGTGCAGGTGCTGGCTAAGGCCTCAGTTTCTCTCAGAATGAGCTCTGTGCAGGTGCAGGTTCTGTGTAAACATGGGAAGAAGTGGGCTCAGGCTCTGTATGCAGCCTTGGACCTGCCTCCCTGTCAGGGGACTTTTAAATATGGTGATTGTTCACTCTCACTCACTATAGGCAAAAAAGTGAAATCCTCAGATCTCAAATATAACAAAATAGGTACAAATTTGAAAGCAAAAAGTGATGAAACACCATGGAAAGTCACTAAAAGAGAGTGTTAGTGAATGGAGAGAGTCCTTGTCCGTGGCAGGCTGCTGAGTCACGTCCCAGCACGAGCGCAGGCCCCACCACCGCAGCCCCGGGCCCACCCTTCCCTTCCCTTCCCGGAGACACTGCGGCAGAGGAGGTGACCCCTGGCTGGGCTGCCGGGTGGGTTTCCCGTTCAGTTGTGGCCCAGGATTACAGCTAAAGTCAACTATGGCATTGTGATATATGATGTCTTATCATAAGCAGATTAAATGAAGTAATAAGACAACCTGATTCTTAAGAATGAATGTATTTTAGTATAAACATGAAATAAGGAAGATTGGCAAAGCCAGACCTCCATTTATGAAATATCCTGTTTGCAAACATGATGCTATCTGTACTAAGAACCTGGTTCGTATGGCATCAATCGTTAGTATTCATGACTGCTCTAAAATAAAGGCACTAGGCCTACTTCACCCTTAAACTGAGTCCTAGAAGGTTTCAGTAACAAGATCCCGTGGGCTGTCGTGGTGGAAATCGGAACCCGTGGGCTTTGCCTCCAGGGCTGGAGTGTCTCGTCCCCAGCCTGTTCCCGTGAGACCTTGTGTGCATCTCCGTGTGTCCCTGCCTGGCCAGCCCTGCCTCCCGAGCCCAGGGCCAACACGCTGAATTTCGATTGGTTGTCATCCCCACATGTTGACTGTACAGTAGAATCACTTGTGGAGATTAAAATTTCTCATTTTGCGATTGTGCCTGGTTAGGAAGAGCAGAGATCAGCCCTGTTTCCTCTTGAGCATTCCCCTAGGGTTCAGTTCCAATCTTAGGCTTTGCTCAAGGGCAAAATGCGTCCAAGCCCTGGAGGCACAGCAGAACCCTCCTTTGTGGAAACTGGTTTTTGCCTGGGGAAGCGCACATTGAGTGAATAAAGGGAAGGCTTAATGTGGAGTCTGACAGGTTAGGGGTTTTTATCTTTGACTAGAGTTTTCTTTTCAGGATGGCTGTAGGGGGGCGGGGTGGGCACAGCAGTGGCTCTGTGTGGGGAATGAGCAGGTGCGTCACTCAGGACTGACCTGAACAAGATGCAGGGTGAACTTCTGCCCCCCAGTTAGGTCAGAGGGAACAGGCTGGATTTTTTCATGGAAAAAAATCCAAGCAGTGTTCTTGACCTGGGAAGGCAGATCTTTCTGTCCCTCTGGCCCCAAGTAGCTGCCCAGGGGCAGAGACAGGGCTGGGGACAATGCAGTGGTTACACCTGATGGCTAGGATCCTGCTAGGCCACGGTAGTCGTACACTGGGAAGCCGGCAGTGTGGTAAAGGTCCCTGTTGTCACCACGAGGTGCTGAATGAGTGGAGCTGGTGTGGAGCCTTTTGGAGAAAGGGTACTCAGAGGCAACCTGCGTCCCTCACCCACATGCCCACGAGCGCGGACCCGAACCTGTGGGTTTACCGCTGCATGAAGGAGACTAGAACTTCACCGACATACTAGATTTCTCAGCAACAGTGTTTATTGTTGTAAATATTTACAAGTAATAATCTATTGAAAAAGTTAAATTGAATTTCTTAGAAAATTCTTATTCCCAGATCACTTTACCATGAATATTTTCTCAAAATCTTGAATTATAAGCTAAGTTTATGTTAAAAAGCTCTTTTAGATGTTTTAAAAAATTTCTCCTAGACATAGTTTTCTAATGTGAAATCTAGCTGAAGTTTCTCCACTTTGATTGTGGGACTGCTCTCTTTTCAGTGTGAGAACCTTAGTGTTGAGTAAGAAGTGATTGCTACACACTCTTCAGGACACCAAGCATCTGTATGGTGGAATCCTCACATGTGCCACATGCTCTGAGTAGATTTCTCAAGGTTTTCCATTGACTCACTTCTCCAGGATGAATCATCTGGTATTCCTTAAAAGCCTTCATCCTCTTACTTCCTAGTATAGCATCTATTCCTTCACTGAGTTTTCTTGGGTGCTTGGCTGAGTATTCACAGTGACTATAGACCTGGGGTTCTTCCCTGTTGAAGAATGCTACATTCCTTATTTACAGTGTGAGTTCATTCAAGAAGGACGTGTCACACAAATGTTTTCTCTTCCATATAAATTTGCATGTGTCAAATGAGTAAGGATGACTGAAGGATCTTTCACATTGGTCAGTGTTTCTTCGTCATCTCAGGTCGGAATACTTACTGAAGGCACTCATACTCTTCTCTCCGTTGTGGGTTCCTTCGTGCCGTCTGAGGGCAGAACACTGGCTGAAGGACTTCCCACAGAGCTGACACTCATAGGGCTTCTCTCCAGTGTGGGTCCTCGCGTGCCGCCTGAGGGCAGAGCGCTTACTGAAGGCTTTCCCACACACACGGCATTCATAGGGTTGCTCTCCGGTGTGGGTTCTCTCATGCTGTCTGAGGTTAGAGGACTGGCTGAAGGCTTTTCCACACACACGACATTCATACGGTCTCTCTCCAGTGTGAGTCAGACTGTGTTTTCTAAGGTCAGAGCTTTGAATGAAGGCATTCCCACAGATACGGCACTCATACGGTTTCTCTCCGGTGTGAGTCATCTCGTGCCTTCTAAGGCTAGAGTAGTTACTAAAGACTTTCCCACATAAATGGCACTCACACGATTTATCTCGAGTATGAATTTGCTTGTGTTGATTAAGGTATGACTGGGCACTAAGGGACTTCTGACACTGTTTGCTGATACACGGTGTCTTTTCCATGTGAGTTAACAAATGCTGAGTCATTGTGAAACTGCTTTGAGTGAAATCTTCTCCGAAATCATTACATTCAAAGGGATCCTCTGCGGTGTGAGATTTCTGCTTTTGGGAAGGAGATGAAATGCTATTAATGGTTTGTGCACATACGTTCAGACATTCATTTCTCTACATATGAATCCTAATCATTCAGTGTGACGGTCTACAATTAAAATCTTCCCAGTATTACTTGCATACATAAAGACTTGCCCTTTTGTAGCATCCAAACTGCCGAGCTTGTACATGAATTTTGAAGACCATAATATGTCTCAAAGACAAGCCTGCATCTGTTTATGCAGATGCCCTTTAAAATCTCAAGTTATACAGTTTTGAGCTCAGGTTAATTTATTCACCAAATGCAAACTAAAACTTCTTGCTCAGAGAGAGCTTAATACCAACTTAATGTAAATCAGGCTATTGTGCTCAGTACAATGTCCCATTCCTGGGGCTGTAACTTGGGTGACCAGGGTTTAACACCTGTGAAACAAACTTACCACTGGTATGACTGTAGATGTGTCCTTCAGGATGGTATGTTTGGTGGCAATCATTTCTTGTTCCTTAAGGGCACTTTCCCTGCCTAAAATAATGGGAAAAAGATATTTACAATGGCATTACGGGAATGAAAATAATGAAAACCACCAAGACTCATGCATGTTTCTAAAACTGACTCTTTGATGGGGCAATGAATGAGTGAATACTCTAGCAGGGAGAAGCGCATTGTAAGGCACTGACCATCAGTAAAGATTTTTAGGACTGAAGTATGACAAAACTGAAATGTGGATGAAGTCAGTGAGTAGGTAAAGAGAGGGAGAATCTTCAAGGGGAGGATCAGAACATACATGAATGTTTTACTTCAGTAAGTATGTTAGCATCTTTTTCTCTAAAGCCTAAAAAGACAGCGGCAGGAGGACACGTGAACTGTGGCTGATACACGCAAGGACCAGGAACATCTGAAGACTTTTGTCCCAATTTTGTCCCAATGTCCTCCACCTACATTTTAGAAAACTTGACAGATCTAAGGAGATCCTCACTAACGAGACTCCTCATTTTGAAACACAGGTCCCTGCCGCTCACCTGGATTCTGATCCTGGAGAAATCCTCTTCCCTCACTCCACAGCTCCTCACCTCGCTCCAGCCGGAAAATCACGTCTGCTCTGCAATGCTGGCACCCTGTTCATGGGAAATGGTATGTGGGTTTTGAGTTCTATGCTAATGAAAGTGCACGGCCATCAAGTTCAGGACAGGCTACTGAGGAATAAGAAGCTGGACACTGAAGTACAGCCCAGGTAACACCTTCAACACTGAAATCCAGATGATGAGATTATCTTTCCAAAATAGTGAAGCCCTCCAGTTGCTGATGCCCGAGCCCAAGTTCAGAGACAGAATACAGAGTCCTCTCTCTTTTCAAAAAAGGAGAAATTAAAGGTCTCTACAGTGGGTTGAATATTATTTTCAAGCAGTAGCTAACATTATTCTTCTGGAGCTCATATTTATTTTCACTAGTCTGGTCTCAAGTCTCAGCATAAAGATTTTGAGGAGAATTATTATGTAGAAAAAACTTTATGCATTCAAAAATGTTCACCGTTACCCTGTTCCGCTCTGAGTGTTAGACTGAACAAATGAGTATCTACCTCCTACCAATACACACGGACTCACCCACGGAGACCAGCTGGCCGATGTTCTCCAGCATCACGTCTCTGTACAGCTTCCTCTGGGACGCGTCCAGCAGGGCCCACTCCTCCTGGGTGAAGTCCACAGTGACATCTTCAAACATCACTGATTCCTAAAACATCACCAATATTCTGGTTTAGACAGAGCAACCCCTCCAATGTCCAAGTAGGGGGTTGAGCTGGCATCTGGCATCACGGAGATTTACAGTGTGAAACCATGGCCCTTGGATCAAAAAGCCAGAAGTTATTCTCTGCCCATTACTCACCCTATTGTTCAAAGAGCAGCACAGAAAGCTATAAAAAGGTTCAAGATAATGATATGGGCACGCTGCCTTTGGGGGCTTGTGTTAGTTCAACAACTGCTCCTGGGGCCCCAACTCCATCAGACTCGCTCTTAAGACTTGTTCCCAGTGCCTTGGCCACAGTTTTTTGTTTTCCTCCAAGAACTAAAGAATGGGGGGGGGGGGGGCTAAGAGAGCAGACTAAGCATGTACGATCCCATCAAGACTGGGATAAAAAGACCACTCAGAGTGCCGGTGGTCACACCGATTCCCCGTCTATTAAATGGTTTAATAATCTGAGTATTGAAAGATCCAGTGAACTAATGTACAAAGTTCTTCCTATCTATGTGAACATGTATTAAATACAGGCCATTAGCCTACTAATAATGTCTGAGCACCCTGAGCTGTCCTCGGCATTCTTCAGCAACGACCACATTTCATACTGAACGTGGTAGCGGCAGCCATAGTCTCGGCCAACAATACGGGACTCGGGTGTCCATGGCAAACAAGCCAGCGACCTCAGGCGGCTGAACTGAGGCCCAGCCCCAGCCTGGGCGGCCATCACAGTCTCTCCTCCTCCTGAAGGTACAGCCACAACCAAGGAAATGATGCTCCCTATGCAATGTTACCTTTTTGTAATTAACCTTCTTGTCATGTTTGGTGAATTATTCCTCATGCCTTCTCTGGCCTCAATGCTCGTGCTCCATCAACACTTCCCATCTCTCTACCCAAACCTGTAGCCCTGGACGCACCCGACGACATCACCATGTCCCCCTGGGACTGTAACGTCCCGTTCTTTGCTCTAATGGTTTAAGGAGCACGGTGAATAAAGATAAGTGAGCAAACAACGTGATCATTTCCCAATGAGGCCATGGACTGGAGAAAGTCCCTCATCTGTTCTATAAATACACAAGCGGACAGGAGGCTGGCCTAAGGTGTGTGACAGTAGGAAGGACATTAGTCACTGTGTAGTCCCTGACCCAGGACAGTGTCCTCAAGTCCTAGACAAACTTAACAGGTGCCCCGAGGCCTGAGCGCAGCAGCCCCCAGTCTGCCCCCCGCCAGCGTGTGAGCTCCGTAGGTAGAGGCTCTTACTCACCGGGGGCTGCATAGTCCTCAGGGCCAGGCGCCGCCCTCTGCGTTTTCTCTCCCGGTCCCAGCGCTAAGCAGGCACAGCTGCGGGTAGAGAAAGAGGCCTTGAGGCTCCAGTCTTGGGCTCCATTTCCACTCCCTCCTGCCCGAGGCCCTGTCATCAGCGGGGTTTGCCCCCCGCCCAGAGAACAAAAAGCAGTGGTGCCCTCTGAGCGATTCGCAGGGGACTCTTCTCCCCAGGGTCCAAGGAGGTGCCTTTCAGGTGAGAACATGCTGAGCTCTGAGTTCTGTATGCTCACTGGCCCGGGCCATCCGGAATTCCCAGCCCCTCCCTGACCCTGGCCACGTGGACATCCCGGCTTCCACCTGCAGCGAACACTGGCCACCTCCTGGCTTTCACCGCCCACCCCACGCCCTGCCAGGATCAGCCCACTGGTGCCCTTCCCCTTCCTGCTCCTGGCCCCCATGGGCTGGACACCAAGTGACTGCAAGTGTGTTGGACGGCGGGGTTCATCGGCCCAAGTACCTAGTTCACTGGAGGGATCACTGGCCCATCCTGCCAGCCTCAGACCTCACAGCCCTGCAGCAGGGAGTAGCAGCTGCTGAGTCCCAGCAGTACTCTCAGCACTGCCTCCACCTTCGGGCCAAGGAGGCTCGGATAATGTGGAGTGGCTGAGTGATAGGTGGTAGCTGATATCCTCCCAATCCCCAATCCTGTCCCATCTTGATCATCATTAGCTGCAGTATCCCTTTCCATTATACACACGTACATGGCCATGCCAATATAAGTATATGCATACACATGTGAGAGAACATTTATAAACATTTCTCCCCTAAAATGTGAGTAACAAGTGTAGTTCATGAAAAAACGGTAATGTGTCATAGTAGCAGAATTAACTCACCCATTGTACTTGTCCAGAAAAAAAAAAAAATAAGCTGGTATCAAAGGTGGCTTTGCACTTGGATATTTACCATGTATTTGCTTATTCAGCCCTCAAATAAACCTGGCAATTTTGGCTTATTTACCAATTTAACAAATGACATGAACAGACAGGTTCAGAAAACTTTGGTAGTGTAAGTTTTACAGCTACAAAGTAACACATCTGTCATTTTAATCTTGCTCTGCCTCCAATGCTTAAATTCCTAATTAATCATCAGAGGCCCCAGCCTGTTACCACCTCTTCTTACTCTTTCACAACATCACATCTGTCCTCAGGAACCCCCTTCGCATCTCAGACATCAGGCCTGCTCTCTCCATTTTTCCTGTCCAATTCAATCACACTTTCTCATTTCAACAGACCAGCATTTTTCTTACGTCCTTTGGACTATTCTCCACGTTTCCCCATCAAGATCCCAGCAACAGGCGACTCCGTGCACCTGCGTTTCTGTGATGCATCTGACACACGCAAAAGAGGAGCTGGTCCCTGTCTAGACACAGAGTCACCACTGCGAGTGGCTCTCAAATACAGCTGGTAACTCGACTATTTGCGAAGGAAATACTCCCTCCATGCTTCATAAATATCTCAAATCTTCTCTGTGCCTTTTGAATCTACAGTCTCACTTTTTAAAACACTGGCTTATGTCCTATCTCCCATATGGTATTAGTTTGCCAAGGTGCTGTAACGAGGACCACAGACCAGGTGACTTAGAAAGGCACTGTCTCTCAGTCCTAGAGGCTGGACGTCCGAGACCAAGGCGTTGGCAGGACCGGCCTCGTCTCAGGCCTCCCTCCTTAGCTTGTAGATGACAGTCTTCTCCCTGGACCTGTCGGCCCTAATTTCCTCTTCTTGCAAAGATACCAGTCAAACTGGACCAGGATCTGCCCTGATGACCTCACTTTAACTTATTTACCACTTTTAAAGCCCTGTCTCCAAATACTGTCACATTTCTGCAGTCGGACAGCACTTCAGCACTTCACTGTTGGGGGCACACAGTTCGGTCCATAACACCGATAACTACCAGTGTGACAAAGTAACTCAGTGTGCCGCGATACCCACAGATATGCCCGCATCACACCCATCAGTTTCTCCTTCTCTCCTATCAAATTGAAGAGGCATCTACCGCTGGCTAAGCCAGAGTCAGCTAGGACACTACTGTTTACAAAGTACATCTCCTTTAGCAGAAACCTGTCCATCCCAGCCCAATCAATCCCCTCATCATTTAAGCTCACTCTGTCACTCAAACTTGAAGCAAAATCTCCTCTGAGCCTGTTTTTTCTCCAGGTCAGCCCTTCTCTCCTCCCTTCTAGTCAAATGGAAGTGTGTGCATCACCTCCTCACACCCTCCATCCCTTACTTGTGAAGACCACCAATGATTATTTTATAAATACACGTTGTTAACGTCACCAGTTCTCTCCCGGTAAAGCAATTCTTACTTGGAAACCAAGCGCTGCACTCTGAACCCCTCTCCAGAACGTGGCTCTCGCCTCCCCCAACACCTCCGTCTCCCGTCTCCCCTGACCAGGCCTCCTCCCCGCCCCCCGCTGAGTTCCTCTGCCCGCAGGGCGTCTGAGCCTGAATGTGAGGGCCAATCTCCCCTCGTGAGCGCGGTGCCCTACAGGTGCTCCACTTCCCCCTGTTGCGCTCTCGGAAGTGAAGGTGACCAATTGCTTGTCTGGATTCCATTTCTGGGCTATAACTCTGCTTGCAGCCTTACACCTAAAATGAAGTCTTTCTCAGGACAATACCTCTGCTCCTCCAAACAGGAAACTTCTCTAGTCTCCGACCATAGCCAACATAAATCTAGTCAAGGCATACCTTTTAAACAAAGTATTTCCTCACTGAACAGGGAAATCACACAGACACAGTCACAGAAAGCAGATGACATCCTTTCACTCTTTTCCTAAAGACTATTTTTTAGAGTCATTTTAGGTTCAGAGCTAACTGACCAGGAAGTACAGACAGTTCCTTTGCACACTGCCCCTGCCCGCAGCAACACCTGGCACCAGAGTGGTACTTTTGCTATAAGCAGTGAACCTGCACTGACACATCATTACCAGCAAGTCCACAGTCTGTGTTAGGGCTCACTCTTGGTGGTGTATATTCTATGGGTTTTGAAAAATGTATAATGACATCTCTCCACCATTACAGTATAATTCAGAGTTATTTCCAGTGCCCTAAAAATCCTGTCCTCACCCTACTCATCCATCCCCTCCTCCGACCCTGGCACCCACTCATCTTGTCACTGTCTTCACAGTTTTGTCTTTTGCGGAATGTCACAGCGCTGGAATTGTGCAGCATGCAGCCCTTCAGATTGGCTTCTTCTACTCAGTAATATGCACTTAAGGTTCCTCCAGGGCTGGACGGCGCGCTTCTTTTTACTGTTACGTACCATCCCGCTGTTTGGATATTCTATGGCTTATTTATCCAGCACCTACTGAAGGGCATCCTGGTTGCTTCTCAGTTTTGGCAACTATGAATAAAGCTTCTATAAAACATTCACATGCAGATTTTTGAGTGGACATGTTTTACAACTCATTTCAATAAATAAATAAGAAGCATGAGTGCTGGGTCATAAGGTATGACTATGTTAAACTGTAAGAAACTGGCAGACTGTCTTTCAAAGTGGCTCTGCCACTTGGCATTTGAACCAGCAGTGAGTGAGCACTCCTGCCGCTTCACATCCTCACTGGCCTTTGGTGTTCTCAGTATTCTGGATGTTTCCCATTCTAATAGATGTGTAGTGGTATCATGTTTTCGTTTTAATTTGTAATTCCTTAATGACACAATGTTGAGCACCTTTCCATACGCTTATTTCCCATCTGTGTATCCACTTCGGTGAGGTGGCTGTTCAACCCTGCTGCCCATGTTTAATGGGGTGGTTCATTTTCTTGAGTTTTAAGAGTATTTTATCTATCATGGATAACAGTCCTGTATCATACATGTACTTTGCAAATATTTTCTCCACACCTGTGGCTTTTCTCATTTTCCTGACAGCATTTTTCAAGAGAGCAGAAGTCTTTAACTTTCAAGTCCAGCTTATCAACTAGTGCTTTCATGGGTCACATCTGGCTAAAAAGTCATTGTCAAACCCAAGGGTCTCTAGATTTTCTCATTTTCTTCTTTATCAGTTTTATAGTTTTGTGTTTTATATTTAAGTCCATTATATATTTTGAGTCAATTTTTTAGAAGGGTGTTAAGGTCTGTGTCTAGATTCAGTTATCTTACATGTGGATCTCCCGTTGATACCTGGCCCCCACCAATGTCCGCATTGTCGAAACACTTCTTCTCCACTGTACTGTTTCTGCTCCTTTGTCAGTATCACTTGACTGTATTTGTGCGGGTGTATTTCTGTGCTCTCTGTCATGTTGCATTCATCTGTTTTATTTCACCAACATATTTTATCCTTTAATTCTACATCCTTCTGAAAGTCTCCGAAGTGACCTAATCTCTTTCCCCAGAGGCCTATTTGTGGATCTGGGTTGTGAGGAGCAATACTGCAGGGGCGCTGAGGCAGGGGATCTGTCCTGCTCTTTAAGAGGACTTGTGATCTGTCCTCTCTCAGGCTGGTGAACAGCAGGGCGACTCTATATAAGTGCAAACAGTTGTGCTTAAAATGTACATTCAAAAGAAATATTCTTTCAGGTATCTAGAGTGTGCATATTTTACTACTAAAAAACAAAAACATTTCAGCATAGGCCTCTTCAAGTCAGATTTGGCTAATGCTTAAGGACTGTAAAACCCTACAAAGTTCAAAATATCAAGACTTCTTAGGATAAATGATTTAGTTTCATTATTGATTCTCCTATAAATAGGATGTGGCTTAAGCATTTCTGAAAATATTAAAATTTTGAAAGACTTAGTTATCTTAAGGTACTTGGGAATAGAGATTTTGAAGAAAACATTCAATATACATTCATTTTAACTACAAAAAATTTTTTGACTTAAAAAAAATTGTCATTGTCATCCTGTCATCACTGTTGCTGCCCTCATCACCAAGGCCAGTGCCCTAAGGCCCAGAGAGTGTTGAACCTGGTCCTGGGTGGGTCAGAGGTCAAGGGCCCAGGCGCTGACTCAGCAGGCCAGCCCCTCCGCCCCAACCCCCAGCTCCTCCCCAGGACTGGTGGCGGCACAGAAGGGCGAGCGAGGGTGCAGTGCTGGCACTGGGAACCCTGTGTCACTGCTGTGCTTACTTACATTGGGGCGGTACCGGCACAGACGCAGGAGTGCAAGGGCTCAGCAGGGCTTGAACACATCTGTGAGCCACTCTCCACGGCTCTCCCAGCCCAGGACTTTACAGCCCTTGTCTTCCATGTCTCTCTCCCTCAGTCTCTCGGATAGATGAATCTCCTATAGGCAACCCAGTAAATAACAGTGAACTCTTTATAGGAAACAGTAAAAAACAAAAGTTACCTTATATTCTACAGTAAAAGGTGCTGGCAAATAGGATATAATCTTTTGGGTATGATAAAAAAAATAAAATAGCCACAATGCAAAGGTGAGGAAGACAGCAGTAACCCAGGAACAGCACCAGACTTATCCTGAGTAACACCAGCCACAGTCCGCACGGGTTGGGGTCCCCTGGGGAACGTGGGAATGAGGCAGATCACCCAGCAGCCCCTCCGTCGGGCCCAGGGTGGGCACCTGGAGTCCGCGGTTTTGGTATGGGCACCAGGGATCCTGGCGTGGAGTGGAATCCTGAAGAGCGTGGTAAGAATGGCTGCGAAGCTAAAGACAAATTCTTAATATGGGCCCAGGTCCCCATCAGGCCCAGCTGTTCACCACTCCAGTGCCCCCTCATCCCTATCTGAATGGAGATGGCCTGCCCCGCAGGCATGGCGTCGTGGGCCGCAGGCCAGCGGCTTCACGTCTCGCCCACGCACAGCCCTTTACCTGAACCTCCCTCGCACCCCAGCTTGGCGTTCTTGAAGAAGAAACTCTCCTTCAGGAATCTGTGTACATGTCACGTCCCCTCTGGACCTTCCCTGAACGTTGTCTGATGGTGGCACCAAACCTCACGTCTCCCCAGGCGGGGGCAGGGCACCTTCCTCAACTGCCAGCTGAACTGCCCCCTCTGAGCTGTGAGGCACGAGCAGTGGTAACACCCACGTGCCAGTCTCCAGCAAGTGTGTGGCCTGTGGAGGCTCAGTGAGGGTGCTCAGTGTGTGACGCAGGGTGGGCACACCCTGCCAACTATAAACAGAGTCCTTCTCGGTTTAGGTTCATCAGCACAGGGCCAAACGCTGGCACTTGGCTGACATGCTTTGCTCACCCCTCTGCCAGGAGCCATTTCTCACCCTTCTGAAGTGACTTCAAGTGGGAGCTCACGAGGGCTGAAGAGGCTTGAGATGTTTAGACTTCCGTCTAGCCTGGAGCTCTGAGCCTTGGCGGCACCCCAGGACCCAGTCAAGTCCCTCAATGAATGCTGGACCCACTTAACTGTAAAGGGGGGTGATGTTAACACCGCAGCAAGAAGGTGGCTCACAACCGAGGTCTCTCCTGAGCAGCACGGAAGGCCCTGCAGACCCTCCCTTCTCAAGCAGACGCAACCGTTGCGACAGGGTTGCTTTTATGAGGGAGAAGAATCATGGCCTCTGTTCCTCTCAGCTGTTAAACGCTGGGTCCATTCAAGGGGCTGCTGCATCAGAGGCGGGAGGAGCCACCCTGAATGGCGTACTTGGAGGCCAAGCCAGAGCCCCCAGTGAGGCCTGGTGTGCACTGGCTCCTAAGAACGGCTTATAAAATACTCGGTAATTTTGTGAACTGAGTAGTATGCCCTTGTTAGCTTGAATTTTGCCCTGATATAGAAGGATATCCACATGGTATAAATCAGAGCCAGTTCACTACTGCACAAATGTCTAAGGCCGATGACCTGTTTCCCTCTCCAACAGGACCACAGAATGTGGTTTCTTGCCCCCGCTAGCATTATGGTGACATGATACTAACATCCTCCATCATTTAATGTTCATACAGAATCTTGTAATTTTACTTAAAATTGAGAACATACTTTTACTTAAAATAACATGCTTTAAGAATTCTAAAGCATATTCATTCTAGAAGTGTTTAATATGGAAAAATTAAGATTTTTAAGAGCTTAAAAATGTATACAACCCCAAACCTATTTCCCCAGAGAAAAGCTCTGTGAGCATTGTGGTCCCTATATCAGAAACCCCACTCTAGCAGAGGGGTCCTCTCCAGGGATCTCTGCCTCGGTGGTGGACTGTTCTCAGGTCATAGAAATGCCAACAAGCTCACAGCCCCTTCCCAAATGTCCACAACGGCCACTGCTTTGAGCTGCACAGAGTTCCCGCTACAGCCCAACCCACAGGTGCTTCTCTCCTCACTAGCACCATGAATTCATGTAGTTTAAGGGGAATCCAACTCAATGAAAATGACTTGAAAGAAATAATAACCAAGAGTAAGTGTTAAAAAGGCTAAAGTATAAAAAGGTGGAGGAATGAAAAAGTAATAAAATATTAACATTCAACGGATCCTTCGCCTTGGAGTAGAACATCTTTTAAAAGTCATCCANGTAGTTTAAGGGGAATCCAACTCAATGAAAATGACTTGAAAGAAATAATAACCAAGAGTAAGTGTTAAAAAGGCTAAAGTATAAAAAGGTGGAGGAATGAAAAAGTAATAAAATATTAACATTCAACGGATCCTTCGCCTTGGAGTAGAACATCTTTTAAAAGTCATCCAATGATTTTAGTAGTGGGTGGTCTGCAAATTATTAAAGACCTTAAAGACAGGGCCTCAAAGCAGAATTACAAGAACGACCCTAAGAGATCGCAAGGCAAGAGGGAGGAATGACTTGGCGGAGCTCCGAATTCCCAAAAGAAAGACAAGCCATGAAGAGAAGCGACCGCGCCGGGAGACATGAGGACGGCCAACGGTCAGCGCCGGTCAGCGCCGCGGACCTGGGCTGGACAGCGGCGCGAGGGCAAGGAGGAAGCAAAGGCTTCTCAAGCGACTAGAGGGAAACAAGCTGGGGAAGACGAGGCCGCAGCCCTTAGAAACCATGCTGCCGGTAAAGACGACAGAAAATGACAGGACGAAAACGACTCTATGACTCAATTTTTTTAAAGTACAAAAAAGGAATTCATGAGCTTATGAAAATTCAGTTTGGAAAAACATATAAAACAAAGAAAAATAAAAGTCCTTCGTGGAATCTAATTCAAAGATGAAGAACAATTTGAGGCTCCTTATAAAAACTTTTATGAATTATGAGGTAGTTATTTACAACAACATGTGATTATGAAGAAGGCCTGCACGATCAGGGGAACCAGCTATGCCCCTAATCTTAGAACCAAATAGACTCTTCCTCAAACACCAAGAGATTTAGGTGGTTTGTAAGTTACTTCAAAATGTACATAATTTTGAAGGTACACACTTTCAACCATCAAATGGTAAAGCATTCCCGCACTGGCATCAAGTGTTGATGCCACAACCCTGTAACCGGTGAGGAATTACTTTTAATCCCAGTTAAACTCTCTCCTTCCAACTTTATGTTTGGGTTCTACTATTTCCTACCACATCATGAGTTCTATGTTACTTGTAAAATACATCCTTTATCTTAAACCACGCCCTCCCAAACAGAGCCATTCCTGTTAGTATTTAGATGTTACAGCCTCTGCAACGTAACGCCTCCCGGAGGCCTCTCATGTCCGGCGGCTGCCGTCTGTCTCCTTTCCTCCAGGCGAGGCAGGGCCCAGCTGTCAGCGCCTCCCCCCCTCCCACATCGCCTTGTCCTCTTTGGTCTTCTGTTTGTTTTGTCCCCTTCATTCATGAGCTTCGTTCTTGCTGACACAGATTCATGGACGAGCCTTCAGAAGCATTCAAAGCCCACCCACCAAGGCAGTGACAGGTCTGGGCTGTAGGGGGACAGGGGGAAGATGTCCTAGTCCCACCTGATTGTCTAGAAAATGTCTGTTTAAGGTTTCATTGACAAGTGGTGTCTTCCAGTGGAGGTGGTCACCCTTCCCTCTCCAGTTCATCCAGTCTAACAATTTGCTGCGTGTAGAAGTAGATCCACTCATCACTCATCTTTCAAAGCTTTCACACTTTTTAAACACTTAAATGAGTTATCACCCTTCTCAGTTAAAACCACAGGCTAGAGATCAATGGGTAAGCAAAAAGTGGCATATTCACACCATGACCCAGTCAGCCTGAAGGACGGGCATCGTCACACCTACTCCACGGATG